CTCTCTCTCTCTCTCTCTCTCTCTCTCTCTCTCTCTCTCTCTCTCTCACACACAAACACACTAAAAACAGTGTGTGTGGCTTATTTAATATTGCTGCTAATACTTGAATGCTACACACTATTCACCTACATACCTGTCGAACATCCTCTTTTCTGTTAATGCTATGATGTGATTTCTACCGACCAGTAAGTTTATCACCACCGTCTGTACTCAATCAATCTCACAATACTGGCTGCTTAGGCTGTGAGAAAGTCAATGCCGAAATATGTCTGTCGGAAGTCTGACGTCGGTTTTCGTCTCGTCCCTTTGCTCCCTTTGTGGAAGTCAGGCCATCACCATTGAAGCTGAGACTCGAGCTGATGGCAGCAGGAGAACTACACGCTATGACATCGATATGACCAAATGTATCTACTGTGGCTTCTGCCAGGAAGCCTGTCCTGTTGATGCCATTGTTGAGGTAAGAGAAAGCTTACCCTGTACACTGAAAAGGGGATTCTATGGAGCTGAACCACAGTGGCTGTTGGCTGTTTGAAACTGGATTTCTGCTACTTGAAATATATATTTCATAAAAAACGATTAATTTAAGTTTTGTGCCAGTGGATCTTTTTGGCAAATAAGATTAGTATCAGCTTCACATTTATTGTTATTATTTATTTATTCTGCATGACAACACTAACTGTAAGTATACAATACTCTGTGCTTCAAACACTGTGTTACATAGGGTTATCATGCAGATTGCTAACCTGAAGTCAATTTCTACCTTCTACGAAGGGGAAAACTATTTATTTTACTTTGTCAAATGGGGCATTTAGCACTCAACCCACCACCAAAACCTAAATGTAGAACATGCAACTTCAATCCTCTGTGTGGCTTCAGACCTACTGATGTTTATTGGGTATTTTTTCCTCAATCCCTCCCTCAGGGTCCAAACTTTGAGTTCTCCACAGAGACCCATGAGGAGCTGCTGTACAACAAAGAGAAGCTGCTCAACAATGGAGACCAATGGGAGGCTGAGATAGCAGCCAACATACAGGCAGACTACCTGTACAGATAGATATGTACACTGTCTGCAAAAATGTTTCATATACGTGAAAACGATATATCTTCTCATCCTCTTATGCATTCAAGAGATTATTTGTAGCTTTAAAGATATTCTAGTGAGTTACAAATGAGCAGTGAAGCCTTGCAGCCTCAGATTCTGTTTTCAAAATTGAGGAAAAATATAAAAACGCACAAATCATCATATTTATTGTGATGGATGATATTGCACTTTATGTTGTTGATTACAGTCTGTAACCCATGCAGCCTCAGTCTATGATGGACTATTTTCTGCTGCACTTCAAAAGCATGTTGTTTTTTTAATCTGATGTGATAGCTAAGACCTTTCTGAAAGAGTATATTTATGTAGTGTAATATAAGATACTGAAATAAATCCTGTTTTAAAACTCATTCGCTTGTTGCATTAATTAGTTGATTACCTGATTATTCAATTCAAACAATCACTGGATCTATCTGTAGAAATGTGGAGATTTGCTGCTTCTCTGTTTTATATCACAGTGTATATCTTCAGGTTGACTGGTGAACAAAACAAGTAATTGAATCAATGTTACTGCTTATATGACAAAACTAAGTTTTGGAAAATTGAACTCTGGGACGTTGTGATAACCATTTGTCACTTTTCTGATATCTAGACACAACTAATAATAAATTTATCTTGAGAATAACGATAATAATCAATATAGTTGCAGCCCTTATAATGCCTTTTTTAAAACCAAGTCAATATGGTAAGAAATATTAAGTGTGCGATATATGCATTCAATATACAGTCTATTTTCTGTTATGCATATTAAATAGTCTATTTACTGTTTGCAGGATGTACAGGGACTAGTACCACTTAATTTTCTTAGATATAAGTGTCTTGAGCTGACATGCTGAATCATGGTCTGTGAAATGCGTTTTTCCCATAGGTTTTTACCGCTGCGTTGATCACATGATATGGGCGGAAACTGACTCATAGTCCACGCTGAATCTCCCGCGAAGGCAGCCATTTATCTCTTTTCTCTCTCGGTAGTGGCACCGGTAGGTGAGTCTCTACATTTGTCCCTCTCAACAGGCCATCCTTATTCTTAAATTAATGTTTTTCAGGAAAGTCAGTTAAAACAACGGGGAACTTTACGGTATTATTTGGGTTTATGTTCCGTTTAGCCCTGCGAGGCTTCCGCAGTTATGTTAGGCCGTTGGTTTTCTTGTGCTAACGTTAGCCGTTAGCTCTGTGAAAAGAATGGCTTCCATGCGTTGCTAGCTAACAGGTTAGCATGCACAGCTCTCCGTCATTCCACTGCTTTGTTCTTGAGACCCGTTTATATTTCTCTTAATTACGTGTATTTACTACCGTTGACTTAAATCAATTTTGAATGCGTAAAGTCAGTTTGACTCTGTATGTTTTTGTTGAAGTTGTCCATCAACTGCAACACGGAACACATTAGCCGGTCTTCCAGTTCGATTGTTTCAGTCGAACAAGAAAAAGTGCGGTCGCGCGTTGGATGGCGCACTCCGTCTAAACGGCTACGGAACGTTAGCTTGCTAGCAAACTGGCCTGCGTTGTAACGGGTCCAAAGTGAGATTATAGTTTCTTCATTCAAATACAATAGGATTTGTTACGTGTATTTATTTAACACGGAGTTCAATTTGAACATATTGAGACGTTAACATAAACGCTAACGTTGCATGTTATCTCGTCGGAATGTTAGCTTGGATAGAACATGCTAAAATTGGGCATCATTAAGTTAACCAGCGGTGGAGTTTAACGGTAGCTGTTGGCTGTACAAGTAAATCGAGTCAAAGTGACCAATTGTATCAAACCATGACTTCAGTCCCTTTGTTGTTTAGCACCGCTAGCTCAATCTTACTTACGGTTAAACGACAGTTGTACCCACAGGATGATGACGGAGAACGTGCTAACCATCCCGCCTTGTTTTGTTGTTTAGGTAAATCGCAATCACGGCGGACTCAATGGCACAGTGTAACCCGGTGGCGGTGTTCAAGGTAAGAGTTTTCTGTATAACATAACCCATGTGTTATTTATTTGTCTTGTACGTGTATATACGGTTGAATAGACATGTGGTGGTTTTTAGGCTAGCTGAGCTAACGGTCAGCGTATCGAACCAGTATCAACCAGTCTAATCTAACCGCTCTCTTCTTTGACAGCTCGTCTTGGTAGGAGATGGAGGCACCGGGAAAACCACCTTTGTGAAGAGGCACATCACAGGAGAGTTTGAGAAGAAATATGTTGGTGAGTCCCTCAGTATATTACAAATTATGTAAATGTTCAACTAACTTGAAATCGCATTGCTATGTCATGTAAGTAACAATAAATGGTATTACATAAATACCAAATTAGGTTTGAAGTCATTTAGAATATAGTTTGTCACAATGACGAGGAAAACCTGCACGATATTTGTTTACAAAGTTGTTATGGCTATTTCTAATCCAAAAAAGCAATCTAGTGTAATTTCTTTAGATTATTTAAATTGTAATGGTGCTAATTAATCGATTAAACGTTCAGTTAATCCCACTAATTTTCACCTTTCTTGCCCTCATACATCTCGTCTTGTGTCATTCCAGCTACTCTGGGAGTAGAGGTGCACCCGCTGATGTTCCACACGAACAGAGGAGCCATCAAGTACAATGTGTGGGACACAGCTGGTCAGGAGAAGTTTGGAGGCCTGAGAGATGGATACTACATTCAAGGTGCCCGTCACAATCCTTAACATGCTGTTCTGGTTATTAAACCTTGAACAATTTGCCCGATCACTATTGATTTAAATTGGAAACCGCGTCATTGAATAGTGTGTAAAAACTTCTCTGCTACCTTCACAGCTCAGTGTGCTATCATCATGTTCGACGTTACCTCTCGAGTTACCTATAAGAATGTGCCCAACTGGCATCGTGACCTGGTCCGTGTCTGTGAGAACATTCCCATCGTCCTTTGCGGCAACAAAGTGGACATCAAAGACCGGAAAGTCAAAGCCAAGGCCATTGTGTTTCATCGTAAGAAGAACCTGCAGGTATCTACAGTGCTCACAAAATGATAAAACGTGTACATTTCTCATGTGTGAATGATAGAAAGCATTGGTTTGAGTCTTTCATTTCTAACTGTCATGAACTTCTCTGTCCCCCAGTACTACGACATTTCTGCCAAGAGTAACTACAACTTTGAGAAGCCCTTCCTGTGGCTAGCAAGGAAGTTAATTGGAGACCCCAACCTGGAGTTTGTGGCCATGCCGGCCCTCGCTCCCCCAGAAGTCCAAATGGACCCGACCCTTGCAGCACAGTACGAGCAAGAACTTGTAGTGAGTATGGCCACACGGGTGCAATGTCTGTTTAAGTGGCTCTGTAGTATATTTTAATCGAGCAAGGTTAAACTCGGCAGGGCAACAATTGACATTGGTAATTTAAGAATTTCTCTTCTCTCCTACTGTCCAGGTTGCATCACAAACGGCGCTCCCAGACGAAGAAGACGACCTCTAACCTGTTACCTGAATGTTCCCTCTCTCACCCCAAATGTAGACAGAACGTTGTTGGAGTTTTGCCCCTGACTGTAAAATCCCTTTTCAGATTTTTTATTTTTGAATTTTTTTTGTTTGTTTTAAAACTAAGAAAAAAGATCTGGTGGAAAAGTTGTAGTTCTAATTTCACTGTATAAGACACACCCACCCTAGTGTTGTTGTAGGCATGGCAACATGCTACTCTTCATCATCGAGCACCCTTCCACTGCACTCACCCAGCTCACATTATGCTGTTGTATGGTGTATTGGAAGCACTAAGGGGAGTACACTTTGAATAAAAACATTCTCAATATAACATGTCTGTTGATTTTTATTTCCCTAAACGGTGTCTCCACGGTCACAAAGACACTTTATGTTGAAAGTGGCCAAGAGGTGTTTTTCAGGCAAGACTTTTGACATCATAGGAAAAACAAAAGTATTTTTAATAAGGATAATGATGACTTATGAAAATGGCCTATTGCCATACAGTAGTCTTTGGCATCCATTAATCTGCCCGCCATAACAAAGCAACTGACAAACTCTGGAGCTAGGTAGTTTTCCAGCTTTGAAAGTACTGGATGGGATAATACAATGAAACTAAACTGCCATTTGTAATCTGTGTTGCTGTACTTCGATGGAGATTGAAGAAGGGTGGGGGTGTTCTGATGGGGCACAATGAAGGAGCTTTAATATATCAACATATGAAGAGATTAACAGAGGTCTTTCCAATCATATAAGAGACGTTTCAGTGAACTGCTTATCACACTGATGGCCACCAGGTGTCATGCACGTTCTTTCATTCAGAGCACAGTGGACAAACAACAGGATTGCGTAATAGATTTAATCTGCACGTTCATCGTGACGTGTGCCCTCCACCCGGCCGTTACTACACGGATCAGGGTTCCAATGCTGCTTCTTACATCCTGCAGGAATTATTCCTCAAATGTTTAACCTTTTTAACCCATTACTTGTGTTTACTGGAAGAAACAGCCACTTTCTCACATCCGTTGTTTCCACTCAGCCACTAGTTTTAATATTTTAAGGGATACCCAGGGGCCTTCACATTCAGGCCCAGATGAAACGTTATTTTGGGGTTTTCTATTAACATGCATTTACGTATTTAATAGATCAAATTTCTCTAGTCTGACCTGTTCGCATCATGAGTTTGCTCAACGTTATGAAGACAGGTTGTTCTCTATCTGAATTTAAAGCGGTGTAGTTGTTTATATTACAGATGAAATATGAGTTTGCTGATGCTTTGACAACACTGTTACAAACTCAACTATTGACATGAAAAGAAATGCTGGTATGATAACCTTGGGCTCTGCATCAGGTTACATTATAAAACCTGCTTTCATCATTTTGTTGTTCAACAGTGTAGCACCTTAAAACTAAGAATACTTTCAATATTTGACATCAATATGGTTTAATTTGAACTTTAATTTAACATACGTGGCTTGGACAACGTTTCTACTGTTTTCGTTTGACTGTTATTGTCTTCTGTAAATGAAAACAGCTTTTGTAAAGTAAAAAAGAGAAGATACTGCATTGTTGTGCACCCAAAAATCATTTGTGAAGATGCAATTTTCATATCAGGGCCAGTGGATTAATAGACAGCATGTCAACATACGGATTAAATGGCTTTGTTTGTATCTGTTTTTACTGGGCGAGTCAATGTTTAACTTGATTTTGAGCAGTGAAGAAGTTAAAGAGTTTATCGTTCCTACAACACCTGAATGCATCACTTGTGCAGGTGGCTCCGGGCGTGGCTTCATGTCGGAGGATATGGATCTGTCTGCGCATGCGTGAGCCAGGAAAGTGCGTTTTAGAATGATTACTGCTGGCCAGCGGAGAGACAGATTATACGGCTCTACACAACTGTTGTTTTAATCCCCTGGGCGAGGAGATTTAAGAAAAAAAACACTGGTTTTAAACCCAGCAGCCATATTGTATGGAAAAACGGCGGAAAGACTCTGCTTTTCTGAAAAAAATCGTTTGTTCACAAAACCTCTGCCAAAGACTTGTAGGGAGTTTTTAATTGTTTTGCTTACTGGCGCGGTGGGTTTCTGTCGGACAACTAGTTTGCCAGCTGGTTGAGGAATCCTGAGATCGGGACTAGTTTTTGAGCCATTTTACACAATAGTGTGGTCATCTCTTTGGTTTAAAGGTGTTAAAGTAACCGTGTGAACCATGAAGGACCGATTGGAGCAACTTAAAGCGGTAAGTGATGTCCAGGAAATGTACATTTTTTATTTCCTCCAGTATTTTCTCTGTACACTTGAATAGCCATCTGCAAAACGTTACTTATAGGAAGAAATGACAGGTGAAGATTAGTTAAAACATTTTCTTTGTTACTATTCTGAATTTAACTTAAATAGCCGACACATAACATACTCATCATTTAAAGTAGTAGTGTACCGCGTGATGACATAACTGATGGATATAGTTGCACTGCAGGTTGGAGAATGATTTGAAATGGGGGTGATGGGTGAAAGTGATTCATTTATAAAGACATTTACGTTTCTTGACATGCAGCAGCCATGTTTTGCGATGTGACAATATGTGTCAGAGATGTGTTGTTATGTAGTATAAATAATAGTGTAATTAGAAGGCTGTTAGTTGAACTCTATCAGCAGATATCATTTTACTTGATCCAATTGTAGCCCAAGTCAGGATATGCTGCCATAGCTACCTGACACTGCTGGCCAAATATTTGCAGTATTTGCCCCCCCCCCCTGACTTCTTTTCAGGCAAAGGAAGTACATGCAGATAGTCAGTGAAGAGGGCCAGTCAGTACAGGACTACTGTATACTGTGTATGTTAACATCTGTAAAACAACTGTTCTCTTGTCCTGGTGGCCTCAATACCTCTTTCAATCTTAACTCCTCTCTCTTTTTGTCATTCTTCCTTATCCAAAGTCATCGCCCACCGACTTTATTACCCTCCTTGAGTAATCTAGGCTGTGTGTGTGTGTGTGTGTGTGTGTGTGTGTGTGTGTGTGTGTCACCTGATAGACGTGGTAAAGAGGAGCAGGAACAGTTTCTTGCGTTTAAAAAAAATACCACCAACATAAGTTGATGAAGGAGCCATGTTTAGCCATGTAGTTTCATTGTAAGCTGACATTAACTTGATAGCCGTGTTCTGTGTTTCAGGCACTCTGTTCCTTTCCCCTCATGGTATATTCAAATGTTTTTTTCAGTAAAAGCCATATCCTCACTTCTGTGAATGACTTTGGCAGCACAATGAATTGGCAAAGCTAACATGGCTTCTTCTGTGGCACATGGAGGTTTTAAATCCCTTGTCAGATTTTAGCGCTGCATTAACACAAGTCCTGATGGAGTATTTTGCCTTCTGGCACCGTGCTGCTGTAAATCTGACCCCAGGTCCCTGTCCTGCTGCCGTTTTGGTCAGTGGCTCATTTTCTAAATCATCCCGTGGGAAAATCTAGTGAATAGGGCTTCAACTAAATTCACAACTAAATTAAAATTCAACTCAATTTATAGGTTGGTCAATAAAATGTCCCCAAAACAATAAAAAACTAAAAGGTGCACTTAGCAGAGTGCAGATCCCCGCCAGGTGTGTCTGGAACCTCCAATGCTCTATTGTGTTATTGAATCAGTACGTTGTACCCTCATCAAGACAGTAATGTCCTGTAAGACGGCGTAAAACACACTTCACTCAAAAATATAATGTATGCAGCCAATCGGCTCAAAGGCGTCAAGACGTGTCATACAATTGTAGCTGAGTGGCGGCAATGTACTCAGAATTAAGTGAATTAATGCAACCATAAGAGGACTTTGAGCATGCAGCCATAACTGGCCACCCAAAATATTATGCAGTGTGCTGCAGCAGAATGCTCGATTAACCGTGGACAGACACAGAGGTGCACACTCACTCCCTTACACACACTCACACACACACACACACACACACACACACACACTTGCAGGCGATCACATGATTCTCCTGGTGGAGGTGATAACCAGCACAATTTACTAAAGCCTTGCTTGTTTGTTCTGACCAACTCCCCAAAAATCCTGAGTTATCTTAAATTATTACAACGAAGCAAATCCTCACAAATGACTCACTCAAAAATGACTGAAATGATTGATCACCTATCAAGATAGCTGCCGATTATTCCTCTATTGATGGACTAATTGATTAATTCACTAATTAGTGCAGCTCTACAAGTGTTCACATTATTGTGATTTCATATGACCGCCTTTTCCGCTCAGTTGAGCCTTTGTACGTTCTCATCGTTCTTAACCATCATTTATGATCCTCGGAGACAAAGTCTGACCCTAAATCACTTCCCAGTTTCTGTGAGATGACGGAGTCACAGGACGGATAGTGAGGGCGGGGGCTGGGCATTCAACATGTCGATGATTGGAGTCCGACTTGCTGGATGGTGTGCTTGTAGTTTTGTGAATGCTAATAATTCATCAGGTCACTTCAGGCTTTTTAAAATGTAGCTACAATGCTTGTATGAATATGTATATGCTCAACCTGTAGCTGTGCCTTAGTCGTGTGTGTCCATGGGTTTGATCACTCGTTACACTGTTGCACATCGAATAGTACAACACAGTCTTACAATGTTGGCTCCAATGAAACCGTGTGCTCAGAGGGCCAGTTTGTTGTGTTTCAGCGGCAGAGGATCACCGTGTCTAGTCGTGCGTTACGCAGCATGACGTATGGAGCTACGTATGCAGAACAAGCGTAATTAAGTGATTTGAATAAAAGGAAACGAGCCAGTATCCGAGCTGACGTATCAATCACTCATGCACCCAAGCTCAGCGTGTGCTCTGTTTTTCTTATTTGTTTTTTGATGATTACACAATCCTCATGTAACAGCGTGAGCCATGAGATTATAGCATTTTTGGGGGGAAAAAAGAAAGAAAATCTAAGTTGTTGCTTCTTGGTTCACTCTGTCAGGCAACAGTTTGGCCCCGTAGCACAGACGTGGCCTTAAATCTAGTTTGTTAACAATATATTTATTTATTTTTTAAATAAATGATGAAAGGATGTGTGCTATTTCCCATTAGCATTCGACAATATTGCAGAACACAGTGTAAATTACTGGGTGGTGTGAATGTATTTCCACAATTCACATGTCTTTTAAACATTAGATAATCTCACACTGCTTTTTCAAAACCGTGTGTGTGTGTGTGTGTGTGTGTGTGTGTGTGTGTGTGGGGCTTGTTAAAGCCTTTGATGCACGCGGCCGTCCCTTTGCCCTTATTTCTGCTGAATAAGAGACACTGGAAGGAAGTCGTGCTTGTGCTTATCTCTCTGTTGCAGAAATGCTGTGTGAGGGAGTGTAATGTAGAGGCCAGAGGGATGCAGCCGTATGTTCACTGAATAACTCGCAGAGAGTTATAAAAACAAGCAGGGTGTGTGTGTCCAGGGAACTCTATGTTACTTCACAACTGTTGTTAGTTACAGCACCCTAAACCAAATAGCTGCATTTGCAATTCAAATTGTAGACGAGGGGTAGAAGGTTAAAGACGGACAGAATGACGTGCTGTTGCATTAAATGAAAGTTCCCAGGAAGGCTGCAACTTATTTTCATCATTCAATAATCTGCTATATTATGTACGAGTTCTACGGCCTTAAGTGATGTGATAAAAGCACTTGTTTTATTTGACCAACCCAATAAGAAAAGCCCAGGAACTGTTCTTTTGGAAGTTAAAGAATGATTCAAGTTGTATTCCAGGGCAGAGTAAATGAAGTAATATCTATTCAGATTGCTTGTTTACAGATCGAGGCAGCTGATATGAGAGAGCTGGGGAAGGCGACAGGCTTTTTCCGTGCCTTGAATTTGATCCAGTCTGACTTTCTCCAGGAAAGTCAAGTGTCCAGACTGGAGACTCCCTGTCACTCATTACAAAACAGAATATCTGTGTAGACTCTCTGTAGTTGCTCAGAGGAAACACATTTGTTTGTCAAATGCAGAAGTAATTAAAAGGGAGGGAACAAAGCGAGCTTACGGTCATTGTTTCAGTCTTCTAACTCCGTCACAGCCTGGCCCTATGATGTCTGTTTACACGGAGCCTTTGCTTTGGTTTCTGATAGTCGGTTCATGGAGCCCGGCCCTAATCCTTCACCGTGTAAATATTCACCAGCAGCCACTGCCCTGTGCTTACTGACTGTTTATGACTGCAGTAGAGGGAAACTTATAGAAGTTATTGGTTTTAGGCTGATTAGGATCAGACTAATATTTCTCTGAGTGTGTCACGCTGAGCTGCTCACCAGGAAGTTAGTTTCATTAGTGAGAGTTTGTTCTCGGTCCAAATGCCGTTCAGGGACTTTCTACCCTGAGAAAGAAATACATTTCTGGACAATGGCTCCGTATTGTTGGACATGAAAATAGTCAAAAAGAATTGGCAGTATTTTCACAACATATCCTGCTTCAGTCAGTCTATGAGTATTGGTCTATAATAACTTCAATTAATTGTGATCATGTGAGACTTGGGGCTGGGTATCAAATCTCAGAACTATCAGGAGTTGGCATTGAATGCTTGGTCAGATTATTAGTTTTATTTACTTGCTATTTTACTTATTTTTAACAAAAAGTTTTGGTTTCATACGGAGTTATGATGCCGGACTATTTCTTGGCCGCATTGACTTCCTGAGGTGATGGCAGGCAGATTTTGAAAACAACTGGGCTAGCTGTTTCCCCCTGCTTCCAGTCTTTGTGCTAAGCTAAGCTAACCGGCTGCTGGCTGTGGCATATTTACCCGACAGACATGAGAGTGGTGTCGATCTTCTCATCTAACTTTTGACAATAAAGCAAAAGAGCGCAACTCCCCAACCCAACATGTTGAACTATTGTCTTAAGTTTGCATTTAGCAGACATGAAATGTGTTGCAGAACACACCTTGTATGTCAAATTTAAAAACATTTTAACTGTGAAGATAATGGCAGAAAGAGTTACCATCGGCCTCATATGACTTTTTGTGCCCATGAGAAAAGGCGGGCTCTGGTTTTACAAGTAGTGATGTTCCGGACTCCTTCATCACTGGAGTCTCTGCTGTGCCTGGAAAATGAACTTACATGACACGACTCCAAAAAATAGTCCTGATCATTTTGAGAATTTGGGGTTATTTTTGTGAAATATATTTAAAAGTTTAAATTGAAAGCATGTTTATGTGCCTCAAACTAACGTGTTGGCACCAGTATCAAGCAAGTATGTTTTAATAAGATTTAAACAGACTCTACTGTTCTTTCATTCTGTCAGACGTGTGATCAAGATGATGACGAGGTGGAGATTGCTGTGGACAACGCAGCCTTCATGGACGAATTCTTCTGTCAGGTCAGTGTGTTTTCACTGATTCACTTGTATTCATGAGGGCGCGCATGGGTTAATGTCTCAACTTTTGTCATTTGCATGCATTTCTGATTGATGTTGTTTGTCTGCGTGTTTGTTTCAGATTGAGGACATCAGGAACAGTATTGATAAAATTGACGAGAATGTGGCTGAAGTCAAAAAGCTTTTCTCCGTCATCCTGTCTGCGCCCACATCAGATCAAAGTAAGATACTAGCATTTCTTTCTTATTTGTAATAAGTGTGTTTCAAGCTCTTTATTGACGCATGTCTCTTTCTTTCTTTCTAGAAACACAGGATGACTTGGAGGCAATCACCAATGACATAAAGAAGATGGCTAACAATGCAAGAAACAAACTCAAGAGTGAGTCTGCCTCTCTCTCTCACACACACACACACACACAGCTTGTCAGTCTATACAACAAAGGGAGTGTTTAATTGCTTTAATGTGAAATGTTGCGGAGGAACTAAACAATGAGGCGGTGTGAAGTAGATGTTTAAAGCTGAATCATAAATCAGTGGTTTGGATTGCTCCCCAGCCATCGAGAGGAATCTGGAGTCAGAGGAGCAGGAGAGGGTGTCGGCTGACATACGGATACGTAAATCACAGGTAAATGATGTCCAAGTTTCCTCTATTTCTTCTCAAATTGAAACTTGACAGGCTTATGAGCATGAAAGAAAAAGCAATTGGCCTACATGTATTTAATATTTACAAAATCTGAAAACAGAGCTTTTAAAACTACAACAGCAAATTCTAAACATTGTATTTATTATTATTAGTTGTATTAGTAGTATTTGTATGATGTTATTATTATTAGTCTTATAAGTATAATTATTTTTGTTACTAATATATTTTTTTAATTCAGTATTTTCTACATTTGTGTCGGCTCTGACGTTTATGATTTGACACAAATTGTCACAGTACCTCCATCAAGATTACTAATTCATTTGTTCCCTGTTGTCTCCCAGCATGCAGTCCTGTCCAGGAAGTTTGTGGAGGTAATGACAAAGTATAATGAAGCTCAGGTGGACTTCAGGGAGAGGAGTAAAGGACGTATTCAGAGACAACTAGAGATCAGTGAGTGACGGCCATAACATCTTGTGACGGTCTCACCGTCTTCTTTGTCGTAAACCTGTTTTCCCCTTTTCCTCTTCAGCTGGAAAAGCAACAACAGCTGATGAACTGGAAGAGATGTTGGAGAGTGGCAATGCTGCTGTGTTTACTGCAGGGGTAAGTGTGTGTGTGTGTGTGTGTGTGTGTGTGTGTGTGTGTGTGTGTGTGCATTCATCAGCCTCGACAGTGATCATAATGTGGTTGAGCTGAGAAACAGCTCAGTAAAACTCAAAGTGCCTCATATCATCTGGTTAAAGATTAGCTGGGCTTGTGATTTGACTCAAAGTCAGCTTGAAACAGCTGAGAAACTGAGCACCAGTGTGTCTCTACTCATCAGACTACCACAACAAGCCACATCAAGTATACATACTTTGCTCATAGAATGGTTGTATCCGGGTAGACTGCGTGGGAAGACTGTCTGGCACAAGCCTACATAACTTAACTTCACAGATTTGATAACTTGATGTCTCACATGTGTTTAAATACGACATTCAGAGCAGTGCAGAGAGTCTGAGTCGGGATTGCTTGCACACGAATCTGAGCATGGAGATCAGTGTCTTGCTCAAGGACACTTTGCCATGTGGACAAGAGGAGCCGAGAATCAAAGAGCCAACCACTGCAGTCATTGGATTCTACTGACTGAGCCACAGCCGCCCTCTTATGTCCAATGTTCTTTTTTAACTAACACTGGTTTCCGGGTTTTATAAACTAACTATCTTTTAAAGCAGCAGTGACACTTTTCTGTGGGAGCATTTCCCACTCGTTTTCAGGTCTTCCTGTTTGAGCTAACTGCCTTTTCACCCAACTAAACCACAGCCACAATGATCAGAAGAAATAAAGATGAAATGCTAAAGACACAGCTTCTCCGTTCACGTTACCGGAGTCTTGGAAAGGGAGGAGTGAGCGGAGGGATCGCAACCACACTGCTGGATGCCACCATACTCGCACTTCACACTGTCCCTTTTAAATGTGACCCGCAGACCAACCGTCATTTCGACTTTTCTCTGTGTTGTGCATGCGTGTCTGAACTGGGCCTGAGTGGTGGCAATAAACCTCTCCTCTCCACAGATTGTGGACGCTGGGGTCTCTAAACAAGCTCTGAGTGAGATTGAAGCCAGACACAAAGACATTGTCCGTCTGGAAAGTAGCATCAAGGAGCTGCACGATATGTTTGTAGACATCGCGATGCTGGTGGAGAGCCAGGTACGCTCCTCCACCTCCGTCTGCCCATCATTTTGTCCACCCAGCCAATTACTTCAGGAACTTCTCATTTTAATCATTCATTCGCATATTCATTCATTCTTTACTTTTCCCCCGTGGCTTTGTGTTTGCTCCTGACTGTATTCAACTCCTCTTCTCCTGTTTATCTCTCTTCCTGTCTCCGCTGGGGTCTGACTTTCAATCTGCATCTGTTTCTTCTTTTCCAGCTCCATGCCTTTGTTACACCTCTTTTACACCTTTTCATTCTCACTGCCACCACCATCTCATCCCCCAACATTGATGGAACCAACACAAATGCATTTAGTAAGATGTACGAGTAAAACATCATCGCAGACGTCACACTAGAATTAATACAAACGCATGTTGTTGATCAGTCAGTCACTGTTTATCGTACATAAGTCTAACCACATATCTCTTACTGCTTGAACCATGCTTTCTGAGGGAAAGGCTTGTTTGAGGTAAGGGCCACACTCCTGCTGTCTGCGCTGTGTGATTTCCCAACGATACTCTTTGTTTTGTTAACCACATTTATTTCCAGCTTTTAGTTTGAAGAGGTAAATGTCAGCATTAACATAAATATGAATGCTTCTTCCTGACAGTCAAAACACAGCTCCTCATGGAGTCATTATTGAAGATGTCCCTTTTTTAACAGTAGAGGCTTTGACGATACATTTCTAAATATTGGTCAGTTTGTTCCCTGAAACCAGATGTATTACTTTGTGCATTCAAACCAATGTTCTGAACTGTTGTTGTGCTTGTGGCGTGTTGCTCTGTATCTTACTGATTGTCCTGTGTTTTTCAGGGTGACATAGTTGACAACATAGAGCAGAATGTATCCAAGTCAGAGGACCATATAACAGTGGCTAAGGAACAGACCAAAAAAGCTATAAGGCATCAGACCAAAGCACGCAAGGTAATCTAATGCAGCAAACGGCTGCTCCAGTCTGCCGGTGACCTCTTCCTGTTGTTTCTCTGACTATTATCTCGACACAGTTTGACACATTTAAACCACACAGTGTGCATACAGATCATGCTCCCTCGCCCTGCAGACACATTGCCAATCACACACATAACTGTTGCATTATATGTGCTTTGCTTTTTGTTCTCTCGTTCTCTCTCTGTGCCCCCCTCTCTCTCGTTGTTTTATTTATCTTTTTTCGTCGCCTCTGACGCCGTGCCCCATGTTAGGGTGGAATGATTGAGAGGATTGAGAGCAACATGGACCAGTCAGTGGGCTTTGTGGAGCGGGCCGTAGCAGACACTAAGAAAGCTGCAAAGTTTCAGCAAGAGGCTCGCCGTGTGAGTGACCACAGTCGGGAGGAGTGGTCGGGTTTCCCAAAAGCAACAAAAAGAGTTTGATTTTATCGTTTACAATAGAACAGCAATTATCATGAGATCGGTGCTATTCAAATTCAAAGCAGCACAAAGAGGAGAGAGAGATAGGAAAAATGAAATGGACTAGATTTACTAACACAGGACAATTATAGAGTCAGATTTGAGTTGCAACCCTGACCTTGTGTTCGAATATGATTAAGTAATTTAATCCATGTTATTCTGTTGAGCTTGAGCCAATGTGAACCCTGCTTACCTACAGAGCAGTAGTTAACGTTTATTGCTTAGACTGCACCATCCCAAGTGGCATAAAAATAACAGCCCCCTCAATGATTTTTGCAACCTGACTGACATTTTACCGTTACGCAATGTGACGTAATTTGTTTTAAGATGCAATGTCGGCCAATCAAATGCATGCAAACGCATGTTCTTGGTGATCATGGCATTGAAAGATAAAAGGATTATTGCTATGATAAATTGTGTTAAAGAGTTGTAAAACTCTGTTCTGGTGTGTAGTTTTGTAGCATCTGTAATGCCTTGCAACTCATTACTCAAACTGGCCGTCCAGGCTGTCACATTGTATAGTGTTGCCGATACCAAAAAACACCCATCCACCAGCCCCTTCAAAAGAAGAGCTGTTTTCGATCTAAAAAGCCTAAAGAATTTATCTTCTACCACAAAGATGCTTTTGGGAAACCTGCCAGAATGAAGACCATCCCCACCATCAAGACCCTGATCTTTACCTTGATCCTTACCTGTGATGCCCCATAACCCTCCTCCCTGCTCTGTTCATGAGCCTCCAACACCAAAATCCAGAACCAAGACCACCCCCTCCCACCTGCTTACGCACACACACACACACACACACACACACACACACACACACCGACAGCTTCTACACTCTTCTCTCTCTCTTTCCGTTCTTTCTCTTCAGCTTTAACCGTAACTTTGTCTTTCTTTACAGTTGGCTCATGGCGGCAACATTATTCTGTTTGAGGATATTGCTCGTTAGCTTCAGACTGTTAAAGCATGTCTGTGAAAATAACTTTTATCCTGACCAGTAAACATAAAGTCAACACTGCTGCACCAAGACTAGACTGGTTTATCAGACTTTAGTAAGATTTATGCAGTGGGTTTGTGTGGTTACCAAGCCACAAGGAGATTTCATTGTATTTTATTCAGCCATTGTTGCCATATATTGTACATATTCCCTCATACAAAAGTTGCACAAACACTATATAACTTACAGTAGTAGTTTTATAATTGTTGCACAAATGAATAATGTACGTATTGTTTCCTACTGAGAATTGTCCTGATGGTACTGTATGTACTTGGTTGTTCCCAACAGAAAATGGTGATAATAGTGGTGGTTGTGGTGGTCTTGCTGGGCTTACTAGCTCTCATAATCGGGTTGTCTGTTGGATTGAAGTAAAGCTGATGAGCTATTTGAATAAGAGGAGCGCTGAGGGTGAGTAACTCTGGAGCAAACAAGCTCTGTAGTGTTACAATGGGTGTGGGTATGAAACATGCTTTGAAAAAGGGTTTGCACGCTCTTTTCCTCTCTGTGTGTGTGTGTGTGTGTGTTTGTTTTCTTTCTATCCACAGGGCTAACTTGAGGTGTGTTTGTTTGTATTTGAAGTTCTTGGGTGTGTGTGTTTTCCTCCTATTCTGCAGCACTTGCCTCTAGCTACTGCTGAACAAACAAAGCAGTGCTAGAAGTGAGTTATAATTTCAGCTGTGTTTTTCTCTTAAATGTCCCAATGTTCCACGTCATGAATCTCCCTTTGTCTCTCTCTCTCTATCTCCCTCTCTGTAGAAGATGATCATACTTGTGGTAGTCTGTGCTGTGGATGTTCTCATCTTTTTCATCGTCATCCTCCCCCAGACACGATCACAGGACTGCTGTTTTTATCATCAGTTATTAATCATCCCCTCCATCCTCCGTCAGCTGGCCCGCCAAATAAAAAACTGATACTGATGGCTCCACTTGCACAACAAAAAAACCCTTGAAGAACAAGTGTTACATTTGATCTCTGGATCAAAAAGAAGACCTTCGAGACTTGGGATATTATAAAAACTTGTTATCCAATCAGAACCGTCCTTCCTGGTCTGTTAGGGTTTGTTTGAGTCCCTCAGGAGGCTTGGACAGTTTGAGGATGCTCTGCTGCAAATGAGGAAATAAGACTGCAAGCTAACAATGCGTGGAGGGGAAGCGAGAATTGAGAAATAACTGATCATAACGTCACTCCAGTGTCGATTAACATTTCATTGTGTAACATTCGATGCCAAAGAATCAGCCTGGAAGTGTTGAGTGAAATAGATTTTAATGTCCAGTAAGTGGGACCCTTGTGAAGCCTTGTAGAAGCACGTCACCTTCCTCATCATAATTCTTGCCTTTTTATGAGCCTTGACACATTCTGTGATTGAAACGCTAGCTACTGTATATTCACTGTATTTTGGATTGTGTTGGTTTAGGGAAGTTTTAGCACTTTGACATTTCAAAATAGGTCTTTTATTTCTGAGATTGAGCTCTGATGATCTTAATGAATTATTATTATTTTGTGTGTCGTTGGTATCCAGTCCTGAATAGGTCTCGGTTCTTTTAACTTGAAGAGGATCGGTGTGCTCACTTATGATTCTTCAGTTTGTAGAGCCCAGTGGTTCTGATTTTCAATATGAAGGAGGTCCTCGTGGAAACACGTTTCAAACACAGGTGGAGCTTAGATGAGCAAAGAAAGAAGCAAACAAGCTATTAACATGCATCCATTGCATTAGGGCTTGTCTAAATACTGCAACAACTTGGAGAAATGTCTGAATATTTGTTTTGTATCTTTGCTAACTTGTGACAAATGCCATCTTGAACTTCTACACTTAAAGACATGATTGACTCCATTGTTAAAACGCTGTAAAAACATAATGTCTTAATGCTAAAAGAGAGACTGTAGTAACACTAGCTATTTCAATCTCAGTGCCAGAATAGTCCAATAAGTAAGTAATAGTAATATATTTATGATATATATAAGTAAGTCACACATACAGGATGGAGTGTGAAAGGACATTTTAACTAACCTACAGTAAGATCTCCCTGACTGGTGGGTCTTTACTAGTGCAATATGCATTTCCTGGCATATTTTAGATCTCATTATATTCCTGCTGTACATGTATACCTCAGTTGCCAGTTTATTGGGTACAACTATCTGAAACCGATGCACCAATACAGAAGCCCTGCAATAAATCCTGTTGTCGTGAAGGTTCTAATGTTCAGTTTTTGTTTAAAGAGCTGTAGAGGTCTGTTGGTTAAACATTATGGACCTTATGCCTGTAAATTTTTCAGTTTAAGAGATCACAATTCAACAGCACCGCCAAGTACAGCCTCCAAAAAGGCAGTTGAGATGAATCAACACCTATCTAAAACAGTGTCAACAAGAACTGCACTTAAGGCAATGTTTAAAGTACATCAATTTATTGATTTTATCTATCCTTAACAAAGTCTGATATGTTGTGTGATACACCAAACCAAATACAAAAAGGATTTATTGCAGGGGTGTTCTATTGGGCTGAATTAGTTTTGGTGTGCCTAATAAATTGGCTTTAATTCTGTTTGGTCACCATTATTTCAGCAGGTCTTTTTTTTTTTTTTTTTTAATTGTGTCAAACTGAGAGGTTATTGAACCACAATGCACATGTTGTCACCTAGAGGCTTTAATTTGGCAGTTAAAGGTGACGCCAGCTGTGCATACAAAGACTGTATCAGAGACATTGCTTCCCATCATTTAGAGACGGTGTTCACCGCATGTAGGAGTTTTGTAGTGTCTTTAAAACGTCCAGTGCGTTGTGAGGGCTGCCCTCACTGAGGGAAGTCTTTGTTTCTGTTAGACCAGAGCATGAATGGTTCCTTTTATTTCTGGTTGAGCAGGGAGCTCTTGAAAGTGAGAGCCCTTCTCAGCTTGGTCCTTTGACCGCACACTGTTCTTCATCCATCAACTGTTCAATCCTAATGCTTCTATTCAAGCCTTTTTTTCTTCACACACCACCAAGGGACGGAGGAGAAACTGGAGAAGTTGTACACTGTATAAAATGAAGGTTCCACAGATTTTATTGAAAATTAAAGATTTTATGTTTTTTAATGACTTGGTTGACTAGAGTGTTTACTTGCGACCTCGTGCCGAAGGTAAAAGAGTAACTGAATTGTTACAATTTCTGATGACTGCATGTTATGGAAGAGCTGTGTGTGCGTGTGTGTGTGTGTGTGTGTGGGATGGTTGTAGCTGTTGTCAGCAGATTGTTGACACAGCATGTTAACCAATGTGTTGCAAAGTACAGTTTTTAAAGCCTGGTGCACAAGTTTCAAAGAGGAGGTAAGTTTTTCACCTTTCCTATCTCTTTTTATATATACACACACACACTGATCTCTGTGACCCTTTATTCTCCTTTTGATCAATCACTTCCTGAAATCAGTGTGTCTCCATTCATGTGAATAATTGTATTGTGTTAGATACTGTCTGACTGTTTTTTATTTTTCATTAAATCAACAGAAAAAGATGATGATTACATTGTGCTGTGCCATCATTGGAATCGTTGTATTCTCCTATCTCTACAGCTTCTTCTCATAGAAGGTTTGACACAGGTAAAACACCTGCATCGGCCTTCAAAACTATGTATTCACTTCTTTCACACTGAATGTTAAACAAGGTCTTTTGTTTTGTCTTTGTGTAGTGTTTCCATGGAAGAGTGAGTCAAGAAAAAGAAAATGTCCTGAGGCACTTCCCTATGTTTACCCTGAATCTATTTTAAAATCTAAAAGTATGAAAAAAGGAACTATACCAGCCCTGTGCACTTACCCTTTAGTTAATCATTTGAATTATTTTCTTGCTGTATGAACTGTTTGAAAACGTGTTATAAATGTGTAGATTTTTCTCAGTCTGCCTGTTCATCACTAGATGGCTCAACATGACACTTAAAATATTTTTTGGACCATTCTGGTCGGCTGTAGTCTACCGCCTCCTGGTGGTGCTTAGAGAGGATAATCATCTTTCTTTACTGTCAGGAAATTATTTATAAGGATTAATTTAAAAAAGAAATGCATGAAGATGATTTTTTTTTTAATCGGTCATTTGCTCCAAAAGTCTAGCATGCTCACACACACAATTATGCTCTGGTCAAAAATATCCAATTAAGTAGTATTTTCTGGCGTATTGTGTTGTTATAATTTGAATAAATTATGTGTGCAGTTGTTGTGTGTGATCTGTCTGTATGCGTCTGTGCTGCTGAAACGCTTTGCACTGATGGTCTTTCTGTAACAGCGGCTGCCACTCGCTCACTGGCTGCGTGTCAACCCTGTAAAGCCTGTTATGTAATAAATGATTTCTGTGCGTTATTGTAAGTGTTGGTGTGTGCTTCGCTTCTTGTGTTGAAGGTGTGTACATGGATGGCTCAGCCTGTATTGCATGGAGGCTGCCTTCCTAAACACCTTTTAACATTTAAATCTTCAATGTTTTTACATTGTTATGCTGCAGGCAATGTATGGCGATGCACGGAGTAACATCTGTGTATGAACGGCCTCCCTGACCTCATTTCAGCCCCCATCTCGCTCTTCTTCCCAACCGGAGGCAGGCCCGGCCCATTGACACCCCCGTGGGGGCGGGGTCTATACAAAGGGTGCACTCGTTTTCCGCCTTCGTGTTTGCAGGATAACCACTACTGGGATAAAATGAGATTAAACTACTATATTGATCCCCAGGAGAGAAATGTACCGTTCGAGCAGCACATAGGTTAAATACACGTGAGATTAAATAAAAAGTAAAATTAAAGTAAACCAATCAAGTCAGAAAAGCTGTAGACTAGTACAGAACATCAACTTAGATCAGTCTGCATAAATATAATACACATGCAAAAGTGCAAAACCACAGGTGCATTTTTACAAAGCAAAGGGAAGGGTACACCAGGCAAATATGTACAATGTGATATATTCATTTACAAATTGAGCAGAACTGTAGTATATCTAACATATTTATAAATGTTTATGAAAATGCAGTAACTAAAGTAACTTACTCGACATAAATACATTTTTAAGGTAGTCATTTACTTTTTTTCCTCCATTATTTCAACATTAAATGCTGCTTACATGCTAAATGACGATAGATAGATAGATACTTTATTAATCCCACAAGGGGAAATTTGTTCGCTACAGCAGCGTTATGATACAGGTAAGCAATCAAAATAGAGTAAAAAAATATTAAATGTAAAAAATGCACAATATATACAAATAAATAGAATAATATTAAATCAACGAACTAAACAGTAGTGCAAAGTTTAAATCAACGAACTAAACAGTAGTGCAAAGATTTAATAAACACAGGCAGTTTTGCATAATGAGTAGTTTTAATACTTCAAGTATTTTTTTGCAAATACCTTGCAGTGACGTGTGTTTATAGTGAATAATATACAGGAAATGCTTCTTACATAACTGTCAAACCGGGGAAGACAAACCAAGCACTCTTGTATATTAACATATTCTAATCTTGTTTAAAAGGCACACGTTGTGTCCAATGGGAGTGTTCCTATGCTAATCTTTAGTAGCGTTGAGGTAAACAGGGGGTGGGTCACGAGCTTCTTTTTTTTCCCCTTCATGTGTGTGTGTGTGTGTGTTTTCTCACCAGCTGAAAATGGCGGCTCGGAGCGTCGAATCGTTCTAACTTTATCGGACAATAATAAACACAACAATATAACACATCTGTTATCACATAACATGGAGGGAAACTTTACTGAGAGACTGCAAACGCTCTAGCTGGAACATACTACTTTCACCACTACGGCTAAAGGAGTTAATACGCAGAGGTAACGGTAAAGAAGCGTACAACTGTACCGAGGCTAATGTCAGCTAGCTAGCGTTAGCCGACGACTTAAGAAAGGGATGCCATCGGAGCTAGTTCACGTTAGCCGACAACTCCAACTAGCTAAATAACGGCCCTAAATGGACTCACTGGCCACAGGGAATTCATTCTGAAAGGTAGTAGCTCCTATCGGCACTTGTCTGTCTTAATACAGCGACGCAAGTCCAACGTAAATGTGTTTGTGTTATGTTGCTAACCTCAGGCAACAATGTTTGCTAACGTTAGCACGGCTACCTAGCTAACGTCAGGCTCCACTCAGAGAGAGAGGTGTGTGTTTCTGACACACTGAAACATTTTAACACCGGTTGACTGTTTATTTGGTGTAATTTAACGTTGCTGCCGATACTTTGTCTTCTAGAGATTATGGAGGACCCTCATACACGGTACAGCAAACGGCTGGTGAGTAACGTCAACTGAACCCAACTGAAACCAACTGCTTCAGTTGTTTTGTGTCTAACCGTTAAAATGTGTTGTGATGGATTTGCTGTAGTTCATCATTGTGTGATGTTGGCCCTTTTTAAATACACGAAGCAGTCCAGTAAATCATAGTATAACTAGTATAGTTGGTTGGAATGGCCCACTTTCTTTTTGGCACATTATGTCATGGCAGTGGTCCTTTCTGTTTAGCGTGCCACCATAATAAAGGTAATGAAGCTGTCTATAAGGTGTTCAAGAGAAGGTCAGGTTCACTGTCTAATCTGATGTGACCTTGCTTCACCTCCTAACCATCTTACCTTCTGGTTGTTAAGTTATTTGTGTGTACTGAGATGTATTTTATTAATACTAGTAAAAGATCAATATGTATGTAATGAGGCCATTGTTGATTTACTTTTGTAAAACATATCTAGGCCTATTTGTGAAAGCAAAAGCTTAATAAAAGCACCCAATAAATAGTTGCTTAATTGTAATTAATTTATTCCCTTTGTCAGTTGTATTGCTGTTTTTGCAAACAACTGTATGGATTTGCTTTCATAGTATTAAGTTGTTTTCAGTTGCAGAGTAATAGCTACTGTCCAGTGCTCAGTTATGAAAGGAGGAGTATCAGAGTTTAGATGATGCCACATTTATTGTTTGGGGGGTGGGGAGATGTCAGCGTGGGGGTGTTGTGCTTTATCCATCTGTCTAGCCAAGCAGTGCTGCACAGGGTGAATGGCAGGAGGGGGGGGGGGGGGGGGGGGGGGGGGTTTGTGGCAGATTAACCCCTGCTATTGTCATGCTGTGTTGCTTGGTTCTCACGTGAACTATCTGGCTGACTGATCTGCTGGGATTGATTTACTGTGATAGGTGAAAGCATGACTTTTAGCACTAATTTTATTCCCTTTTTGGCACGGAGATATTAGGGACAGCTCCCTTGGGTGTCACCTCATATCTTAGCAATTAGATTCCAGTAATAACGTTTAAAAAAATACATTAAGCAATGTTGCAACGGTTTCCTGGTAATTTGAATCTCTGTTACTTTTGATTGTGCTTGCTTTTTGTTGTGTAGTTTTTCATACCAAAGGTAGTTTGGTAAAAAAAACATTGATGTGATGCTAGTTCTGCTTTCATGGTTTAGTTTGATCTTGACATCAGCATTGCTGTCTGATAGCTTTGTCATGGCATTAAAATATTGTTTGTACCGTAAGACATCCCATAATTCTCCCTGCCAGTGTGTTCTAACCCCCACGTCCTGTCCTCTTTCTGTTGCTCATCACAAAACGTTTTGTTCATGCTTCACGTAGAGGTTAACAGAAATGGTCTTCTGTCCTCAGCGTACGGGGACGCGGCGGCGCTACCAGGACGATGGAATCTCAGATGATGAAATTGAAGGCAAACGGATGTTCGACCTGGACGAGAAGTTGCAGTGTGTCCGGTTTAAGTCTGACTTGGTCAAACACATGGAGGGTAAAGGTGAGAGGTTTCAACATATCTGATGCCGTGTAAAGTCAACTACGGCTAACTGTTCTAAACGCTGTATTGCTTGATACTACTCATTTTTAAGACCGTGTTGATTGGATACAAGTGTCTCTGCAAGTTCATATTGTCTAATTTAAGTATTACTGTTATGACTCTGGGTTATCTACCCAATGCAAGTATGTGTTTTTTGATAACTGACTGTGTGCGTCTCCTTTCTAGATTTCACATTTGAGTACATCCAGAGGGAGGGGCTCAGGGACCCCATTATCTTTGACAGAGCTGATGGCCTTGGCATACAGTCAGTCACATTCTTTTACTCTTTTTTTGATTATCATATGGAGATATATGGAGCTTAGTTTAAATCATTTCAAATCAAGTCCCAATAAACCTGTTTTTTGTTTTTTCTTTTCTGGATTTTGAAAATTAATTTAAACATTTACATGGACTTGCCTCTCTCTTGCAGAATGCCAGACCCTGATTTTAGTGTGAGTGATGTCAAGTTGTTTGTTGGTAAGTTCTTGTTTTATGACCTTTCCGTGTAAATGGCTTTACTTTTGTACACAAAATGCGAGTCTTATAGAACGATATTACTGTACTCCAAATAACTTGAGGGAACTGCTTTCAACTGTAAATTGTCTCGCTCAGTCTGTATCTCAGTATTTATTTATTAACAAAAAAGGATCTGTACCAAAGTTGATTGTTTGTTCATGTAAAAACATGATTTTCTTTATAAATACATCAATATCAATATCGGCCTCCAAATACCAGTATCGGTCGGGCTATAGTTGCTTGGCATTTCTATTACAAATAACGTGTATTACACACAATGCCAATGAGTGTCGAGTATATTTTAGGACAGTGGTCGCAGTAGTCGAACCACTTTCAATCCTCTTACAGGTAGTCGACGCATTGTGGACGTGATGGACGTGAACACCCAGAAGGGAATCGAGATGTCGATGGCTCAGTGGCGACGCTACTACGAAACGCCCCCGTCTGAAAGAGAGAAACTTTACAACGTCATCAGTCTGGAGTTCAGCCACACCAGGCTGGAGAATCTGGTCAAACGTCCGGCGTCGGTGAGAATGCAGATATGCACATTGATAATGTTATTTTATAACTCTTATTTACGCATATCTGTAAGTCACAAATATTTTGAGCACTCAGAAAATCACACTTTAGGCAGATAAGGAAGACGGGATAGTTATCATCATAATTTGTTTGCTACTTTGATGGCTATTAATCTCTGTCTAAGTTCCAGGGAAGTAACTATTTGTCTACATACAGAAAGTGGTGTCTGTCATCAGAAACTGGAGTTTGGTGCAGACATTTTGAATGTATGTATTTTCTTCAGGTGGACCTGATTGACTGGGTGGACAACATGTGGCCCCGCCATCTCAAGGAGAGACAGAGAGACTCCACTAATGCCATCATAGACATGCATTATCCCAAAGTACAGAAGTGAGTAAACCAGAGCTCTCACAAACGTGTAACATTTGCTGTCGTATAGATAAGATACAATACCGATCACATCTCCAACAGTGATATAATCCAATTCAAAGTCTCTTAATGTCTTTATCCTTTTCTATAATCTTAAATCTGCGTTGTGTTTTCTGTCCTTCCCTCACTCCTCGTAGGTACTGTCTCATGAGTGTGCAGGGCTGCTTCACAGATTTCCACATTGACTTTGGAGGCACTTCAGTGTGGTACCACATCCTGCGAGGAGGAAAGGTCGGTCTGCGTGTCAGGCCACACGAGAACTCTTCTTTTTGAAGTTTTTGGCTGCCTGTAGTGACCCAGTGGAAAGTTTTAGTTGGAATGAGGGACAGTCGTTGTTTTCACTCATGCTATTAGAATACAACTAATTGTCAATGTGGACTAACACTCCATCTTGCCTTTTAACTTTCTCTTAACGTCCTGCATATAAACATTAGTGCCATGGATGCATCTTTAAGTATTTGTTGACCTCAGACCATCAACGTGACCTTTCACACGGGATCCCTGCAGGTGTTCTGGCTGATTCCACCCACGCCACCGAACCTGGAGATGTACGAGAACTGGGTTTTATCAGGAAAGCAAGGGGACATCTTCTTGGGGGACAAGTGTTACGACTGTCAGAGGATCGAGCTCAAGCAAGGCAACACCTTCATAATCCCATCAGGTATGTTCCTGTAATAAAGGCAGTGACACCATACATATAAAAGCCACACTTGACCACTACATATCTTGAGCTTCCTGCGTCCTGTGTGTTGTAGGGTGGATCCATGCCGTGTACACACCGGAGGACACACTGGTGTTTGGGGGAAATTTCCTCCACAGCTTTAACATCCCCATGCAGCTCAACATCTACAGCATTGAGGATCGCACACGGGTGAGCATGTTGATATTCCACCGTCCTCCTGACACACATTGATGATTGCTTCAGATTTTGTGATTATGCCGAGTCTCATTCTGTGGAGAAACTCATAACAGAAAAGCACAGAATCATTTCTCAGCAACATAAGATAAGATAATCCTTTTATTAGTCCCACAGTGGGGAAATTTACAGGATCACAGCAGCAAAGTGGACAGTGCAAACAAGGTTCATGGTTTAAAAAATAAAGAGCAGCAAGTATTATAAATAAGTAATAAACAGTGACTTTAATGTTAACAATTGTTCACAGCCATAAAGCTAGCGCTGCACTTTTTTTTTTTTTTTTTTTTTTTTTTTTTTTTTTTTTTTTTTTTTTTTTTTTTTTTTTTTTTAATATAATTTCTCTAATATACCAATTTGGAAACTCAGAGTATCTGCCAATAGAGTAACAATCCGATACCAAGACCATATCTGTATATCTCACTGAGTAGAACTCATTAGTACGTGAGTAAGTACCTCTTATTGCGGTTGTAAAGTAATTAAGTGGAATTAATTTAAGTGATAGTGAAAACACTGAATTTTAGAATGACACTCGCATGGAAACTGTTTTTACTGTGGTTTGATCATGTCGTGGTTTATACCCAATCCACCAAATAAGGTCTGTATGTTTGTTGCTACTGAGTAGTTGCATAATGAGGTTTGCGGTATCCTAATACCATGCATGTCTTCCACTTCTTTGGTGCAAGGACCGGACAGTTAGACTTATGCAATAACACAAAATCACACTCTCCAGCAAATATCACGACGCAAAGATTTCTTCTGAATTTAGCTAAAACACAAGTTGTTTGTGTTGTCAAACGCTGTCGTTGCTCAGACAGCCAGCTGGGCTAAAAGAATCCAGCAGGTGTATCCGGACTCTAGCCACTGCAGCTACATCCTATCTCACTTCTCCTAAAGCAGAAGTGCAAACCACAACAAAGTTTTGGCAAATGCTTCAGCTGCTTAAGAGCAGTTTGAAGAAGCAGAACGTATGTGTTTGTGTATAAAGCAATTCACTTCAAGCAACATAGTATACATTTAATTTTCTCTCTGTGGTATTTGACGAAACTTGGAAGATGCAAAAAATATTCACCAAGTTTTTCTAATTTCTGTCCTCGTCCTCTAGGTGCCAGCAAAGTTCCGCTACCCGTTCTACTTTGAGATGTGCTGGTACGTCCTGGAGAGATACCTCTACTGTCAGACCAACGTCTCCCACCTCACTCCTGAGTTCCAGAAATACTCCCTAGGCATAGGTGAGGACGAATGGATGCAAAAAAACATGGCCATCCTCACTTGTATTTGTCTATTCTTTACACAGACGTATAAATTAATCCGTCATCTTTTCAGGACTTACACAGGCTGACCTTGAAACCAATGATCAACCCAAGAATGGCACCTCTAATGGAGTTGACAGTGACACTGAAATCAAGGAGGTCATAATCAAGGAAGAACATGTGGAAAAAGAGGAGACGGCTGAAGTTGCCACACCTCAGCACATGCTGACTCCCTTTGAGCTTGAGGGACTGTGGAACCTCTTAGGGAAGCTGGAGGAGCTGCCGGACCAGAAGAAGTGTGTTCCTGCAGGCATCATGGATGCTGCAGCCCTGATCCAAGACATGAGGGTGGGCCTAAGTTCCTTGTGCATCTCACAATGAGCTCACACTGGCTGCTACTGCTTTTAGGGTTCTGTGCCAGGGTAGAAGTCCAGATATACATGATGTTTTTTTTTTTGTCTTACTACTTCTTTTCGCTTGTCCACTTGTCTAGACTCTTCTGAAAGAGCATTCCAATGATGACCCTAAGTTGTCCTACACTGGAGAGCCCATTGTCAAGTGGCCTGAAAGGGTGAGTAGAGAGCACATTTCTACACACGTCCAGCAAGCTTGGATATATACTTAACGTCCATAACCAGGCATGCAAACTCGTCACCAACATCAAACAAGTCCTCGTACTGTACACGACTCTAACCGGACTTTCCTTCGCCTTTCCTGCTGATGTCCCTTATACAGCCGTCATGGTACCAGCCCCCCACTCCCCCTCCCCCTGTCATTTACCGTCCTCGCTTGGGCCCCACCCTCCACAAGCCTCTGGGTCAGAGGCCCACCAAGCGCTCCTCCATCTCGGCCCTGAGGCGCCGACGGGTGAGGTGTAAGCGCTGCGGCGCCTGCTGCAGGAAGGAGTGCGGCACCTGCCAGTTCTGCCACGACATGAGGAAGTTTGGTGGCCCTGGACGCATGAAGAAGGGCTGCATCATGAGACGGTGTCTGATGGTGAGTCTCGTACCCATCATTGGCTTTGTATGTGTAGAACCAAATAATGCTGCCCATCTGTCCGTATTATTGTACCTCTGGTGTAAATACCATTTGTTCCTTCCTCCAGCCTGCCTTACCGAACACAGCGCGCTGTGCCATATGTGGAGAAGGAGAGTTGGACGAATCAAATCCGAGCACTTACTCACTCATGGAGTGCTCCGTCTGCTCGCAGATTGTCCATCATCAGTGCATTAAGGTAATCAACTTCAGACCTAGTGAAAGCTATAAACTGAATACATTACCTAATTATGGCATGGTTTGTTTTGCTGCCTACGAAACTGCATATGTAGATGTTGATTTGCTGTTTCAGGAACCCGGTGAAGGGAAGATCAATAAAGATTTGCCCAGCTGCTGGGAATGTCCCAAATGTTACCAAGGCAAAGACTTAGAGGTACGTATCCTATCACTCTCCCTCTGTCTATCTCTTCCTTCTCAATTCATTCAATCTCTAAAACGCCATATGGTTGATGTCTATACTCAAATTAACACGACACCCTCTCTTCTTTAACCCCATCAACCCTCTCCTCTCGACCGTCCCACACCAGTCTTCCAGCGATGAGGAAAGTGGAGAGTCGGAGGGCTCCACCTCCTTGCCACCGTCCAAGCTGGCCTACCGGGAAGGCATCGGTGTAGGTGAAGGGGTGAGACGAGGGAGACTGAGCAGATCCTCATCCCGATCCACAGCTCCACCACCTTCTCAGAAACTTCTACTGCAGCATCAACAGAACCGCAAAAGAGCAAATGCACTGGAGCTCAGACTTAAGAAGAGGGTAAGGTGGACTTGGATGACTTTGTTGAATTTTCCAATTTTAATGATCAAAAGCAAGTAGTGACATTTTTTCTGCTTCATGGGGTAAATAAGTTGGTGTAAAGCATATGGATAATTCAGCACGTCTGCATTTCCAAATTCTTCTTTGAATAGCGGTACTCTAGTTCTTAAGGTTTCCTTTCAGTTTTAGAAGCCTCAAAGAGTTTGATGCCTTTACAATTCAGTTTCTTCTGATTTTGTCACTGAAGAAGAATGTAAGATAGTGTTTCCATGATGAAACTTCACCCTGAAACTGGCTTTGTGTGTTCCTCTATATTTGACATTTATCTCTTCCCCCGCCCCTTTTCTGTTTACTTCAGATAAAACTAGAGCGCAGCAAAATCCTAACGGTAAGCACTTATTTCTGTAATGTTCCGTATTGCATTTTATATACTATAATGCTATAAACTATTTTGTTTATCAAAGATACATTTCAACCACAAGCCATCCTTTTTGTTCCCCCCCAACAGAAGCAGTCGTCTCTGGAGCGCTCTCCCAGGCTGCTGCGCTCCAGGGTGCTGTCCCGGCTACGCTCTCCAACCAGCAGACTATCTCAGGGCCGAGGCCGGGGCGCCTCCTGGACCAGTGGCTCCTCCTACCACAGCTCTCCAGGAGGGACTGGTTCCTTCCAGCAGCAGTCTTCCCTCGGCCTGGCACTTGAGCCCAAGGGAGAGTCCCACAGAGGGAGGGGGAGAGGGGTGAGGCTGCGGGGAGGAGGAGCAGGAAGAGGAATCCGAGGTGGTAGAAGCCATGAAGAGTTGGAGGAGGAGAGCGAGGACAGCAGCAGCAGCAGCACCAACAGCAGCACCAACAGCAGCAGCAGCAGCAGTAGCAGCAGCGATGCTGATGAGGAAGAAGAGAAAGGGCAGAACATTGGGAGGGGATTGGATAAAGAGAACCAGCCACAGTCGAGGCGAGGAGGACGGGCAGCCAAAGAGAGGGAAGAGGAAGCGAGCGAGGTGGCCAACCAAAGCGGTGCAGAGGAGGATGACGAGGAGGAGACTGAGCAGGACAGTGAAACAAGGGGCAAAGATGGCTCATTTCTTAAAGTGACACTCCAAAGGCCAACCAGAGCAAAACACGACCCGTCAGCCATTGTCCCCAAATTAGAAGCTATCGCCACTCAAACTGCCACTTCCACTATACACAGCCAGACCAGACTCCTCGTCAGACCCCCCATTAGAAGCCGCGGCCCCTGTCCCGATCAACTCCCCAGTAGGCACACGCCTCCTCACACTCGTAGTAGACTCACGGACACTCGCTCGTCCCACCCCGAGAGGCTGGAGGACTCTAAAAAAACGAGGCCGAGCAGACCTGCAAAATTGAGCAATGGCGCCTCCTCTTCTTCGACCTCTGAGCTTCCCCATCTCCGCATCCCTCTCTCCGCCCTGCAGGAAGGAGGGAGCGAGGCTGACCGGGAGAACAGTGGCAGCGGACCAGGCTGCGAGAGGGAAGTGTGGGTATCCGTCTTCCGTTACTTAAGTCGAGCAGATCTCTGCGTCTGCATGGCTGTCTGCAAGAACTGGTACAAATGGTAAGATCTCTTTGAGGACATGTTTTTATTAGGGATGGGTTTTAATAGCCGGTTCCATTTTGCATCTGGTTCCTGCTCCGCAAAATACCCGTGTTCGTTAAGCTCTGATGCTAACAAATGTTTCATCAAACCTGTTATCTCACGCTTTTTTATGAGCAAAGAACAATGAAGACGTGCAGTATAGGTTGCAGGCTTGTCATCCTCATCTCATCTCAGGTTGTGGGTTCAGGTTTGGAACCTGTGTTTCTGCCATCACCGTCAAGAAAAGTTGATTAGACATCTTTGAATTAGTTACTTTTGCCTTTGGTTTCTTACAGATGTTGAAACGTGGATTTCAATTTTATAAAATGCGATCAAACCCCATCCTTTTATTTTTATATCTTTTCTATTTTAAACTCAGTAGTGACATCGTGTTTCTGCATCTAAATGAGTGTGTCGGGTCATTAGGTCATATCGCTCTGCAAAGGGATAACTGAATGGACGTGTTCTTCATCAGCGTGTGCTTGTTCGTAGGTGTTTAGACAAGCGGCTTTGGGCACGGATTGACCTGAGCATCAAACGCACCGTTACCCCTCAGGCCCTCACCGGCATCATCAAGAGACAGCCGGTCACGCTGGATCTGTCCTGGACCAACATCTCTAAAAAACAGCTCAACTGGCTTGTTGGCCGGCTGCCTGGTACTCAAACACACACACACACACACACACTCTCTCTCCTTCACACAATTTGTATTGCATTTTGTATTGAAAGTTTTAGATAAATTCTGAATTAGTCATGTATCCACCAATCAGCTGTGTGCTCTACCTAAATACATTAAACACTCAGTTCGAATCTCTCTTTTGATGTTGCAGGGCTGAAGGATCTGATGGTGGCAGGTTGTTCCTGGTTAACTATTTCAGCTCTCTGCTCCTCTGGTTGCCCTCTCCTCCGTTCTCTGGACCTGCGGTATGCAGATGGCGTCAAAGACTCTCAGATCAGGGATCTAGTCACCCCTCCAGGTGAGGAAAGAGGAGCCTTATGTTTCCCTACTTTATACCCCTTGCCTTTCTTGTCATTATACTCCCTTTTTTGCCCTTTTCCTCATCAAACTCTCACAAAAACTCTGCTTATTTTTCCTTCTCTTCCTCCCCTCGGTTCCAGGTTGTGACAATCGCAGTCATTTTCGGACCATGCAGTGTTTGCGACTAGCAGGCCTGGACATCAGCGACTCCACTCTGCGCCTGGTGATCCGCCACATGCCCCATTTAACAAAACTGGACCTCTCCCACTGCAACAGCCTCACCGACAACTCCATCAACCTGCTGACCGCAGTGGGCTCGTCCACACGAAACACGCTCACAGAACTCAACCTGGGAGGTGAGAGTTTGATGGGGATCGCTAATTCTTTAGAAAGAACATGCGCACACTTTGCATGACTTTTATTTCACTCGTATTGATGTGTCTGTGTGTTTGTCTCTTCCCTAGGTTGCAGTAAACTGACTGACACTAGTCTGAAGTATCTCCGCCGCCTCTCTTGCATCTCACTGCTGGACCTGCGAGGCTGTAAAGGTGTCTCCCGCAAGGCCTGTGAGGCCTTCATCTCCGAGCTGTCGGTCAACACACTCTACTGCCTGTCGGATGAAAAACTGATCCAGAGGATTTCCTAAGCATCCGCCTCCTCTGACTGCAGAGGTGCAAAGGCAACAGTGAATCTGTGTAACACAAAGGACACAGACGGGAAGGGAAGTTCACATGCACCCGTATCACATTAAAGGAGGGGGGGGGGGGGGTCTAAACTGGGAGTGCTTAATCACTTAACTGGTGTTGGTGAAAGGGGTCGTCATAGCTGAAACAATATTTCTTTTTTAACATTAGGTACATTTTTCCAGGTACCGTAAAATAACTCATTTTTTTCAGTTCTTTTGGGGATTAATGTGGGGAAAAGCAAAATGTCGTGTTTTTTTTTTTTTTTTGTTTTGTTTTTTTGTTTTTTTGTTTTTTGGCCAGGAGTTGGAGAACATGGGCAATCAATTCTCTGTACCAGCCAATCTTGACTCTCATCACAAACTCCTGCCTTGAGTTCGACTTTTGAGTTTCATATTTGGGGCGTAACTGCATTGTTATGTTTGGCTGATTCCCATAAAGTCGTATTTATCTTGTGATTTATCATTTCAACTCATTTAATATCCGCTACTTTTGGGTGCTCTAAATAGATCGTTATTTTTTTGTCAGATTCAAGAGAGCACACGTCTAGAAGTTTGACGTCTGCTTTATGCACAACTATGCGCTGAGATTTATTTTTTTGAAGACAACTAAAGGTGACAGATCTTTGACAAGACTTATAAAGTGGGGGAGTGGAATGGCCTGTGTTTACCAGTTGTATGTTCAGCTTAATAAGGCATTTGGATGCAACAGTAGTCTAGTGGTATACCTGATAAGTGTACATGGACATCGAGTAGATGTGGTTGTATCAAAGGGTTAAAAGACAGTGTGAGAAGGCAATCGACAAAGCAGCAACACTTCACCCCAACAAAGGGCAGGTTGCATGGAGTGTTCGGGGTAAGCCACAGTTCAGGTGTCTGATAAATGGTGCATTTTCAAACAACCGTTAGACTTCAGGTGCTATTATTTCCAAACTTTTATTGCTTTGTTTTTGTACAGGGACAACATTTTTAGAGCCAAAATGTTAATATTCTAGATGAAATTGCTCCCCACTCCTATTTGATACACTTTATTCTTTTCATGGATGAAACATGCGAGGATCTAATTCTCACTGAATTCCATGACTTTGTCCAATTCAATATAGAGATGTACCTTTTTTTTTGGTTGGGGTTGCTCATTTCTTTGTTCCGTTAAAGTGTAGTAGTTCTGTATCAACGGTCTCCTTCCTGACCGCCCTCCTGGACATATACCTTAAAATGTATATAAATATATACTTTTGTGTAAATGTGTTTTCCTCTTTTCGATTATCAAAACGGGAGTCCTGTAGCATTGTAATTATTTTCAAAAGCATTTTTCACTTTATGTTATTTGTGTTATTTTTCAAGAAAAATAAAAAAAAAAAGATAAACAACGGTTAACTGTCGTATTGTCACTGAACGTGGGCGAGATGCATAAAGTAATAAAACTATTTGCACTGTAGGATCCGAGCAAATATCGGCTCCACCCAGCTTCTCTCTCCATAAAAATAAAGCGAGCAGCAGCAACTGTAAACACACTCATCGCGCAGGAGCACGGGCGGACTTTGACAGATGTGGTCTGGTTTGGTGATCGTTAGCCGGGCTGAGTGTGATCGGCAGCAGCTGTCTCCTCCAACACATCGGATGCTCGAGTGACCTGGATGTGGAACTGGAATAAAGGCCGATCTCTGTTCATTTTTGACACACCCGCAACAACCCTGCGATGTAACCGGGGGTGGCTGCTGGAACAGCAGGATAGCTAGCTAACTTTATCAGCCGGCGATTTCACCCATATATAAATATATGTTTTAACTTAAGAACATAATCCATCGTGTTGGAAAATGAACGGACTTTGGAGGTGCTCTCTTGTCCGGCTGACATAGTTGTTTGACTTCGTGAATAATGGAAAGCAGGAGCCAAGAGGAGCAGGAAACAATGTTATTAGCCAGTTAGCTAACGTTAGCTCAGCTAGCTGTTAGTTAACTACATCAAATTAGTGGGCTGAGTTAGCCAAGCTAACTCAGCCCACTAATTTAAACAGGAACAGACATCATTCTACTTTGTTTGCTGTCCAACGTTAGCTTATTGGATATATTTGCTCAGCGACAGGGTTTCCCAGTGAAACACATTCAACGTTTACCCATTTTCTGCAGTTTACGTAGCTAGCTAGCTAGCTAACCAGGTGTGCCGAGCAGCGCTGAACTCGCTGCTACAGTCTGCTGTGGTGTCGCTGCAGAAGTCATATTGCAAACATAGCTTTACTCCTGTTAAAACTGTCAAGCGGACGACAACCATGGCCGAAGAAGCGTTTTCTCTGCATCTCCTGGTGTGGAACAATCAGTACCTGGAGCTCGATCGAGAGCTGCAGAGGAAAGAGGTAAGCAAGGAGGCTTTATATTTGTACAACTGGGCGGTTGATGTGTTGTACAGATGCATTTGGCAGGTCGCACTGCATTGCGCTCATGCTTGCTCCTGTGTTTGCTTTCTGCAGCAGGATGTGGAGCGCCTAGATCCGAGAGGGCGCACCCCGCTGGAGCTGGCTGTGTGTCTGGGCCACCTGGAGGCAGCCCGGGTGCTGCTCAGGCACTCTGCGGACACGACATACAATAACGCACAGGGCTGGACTAGTAAGTGCTTCTTGCTGTGGCTGCAGAGGGAATAAGAAACACTTTCTGGCATTTCATGTGGAAGTATGTTTCAGTCTTGCAGGAGGCGGTGAGCACCGGGGACCCTGAGCTGGTTCAGCTGGTGCTTCAGTACAGAGACTACAAACGTGCCACTGAGAGATTGGCGGGCATCCCAGAGCTGCTCAGCAAACTAAGACAGGTATGTTTGCTGCACAGTGGCCTCAACCTGTTGCACAGGTCGAAACATCAACCACGCCTTAAAGCTTTGTTAAATATTTGTACAAAGTGCATCTTTTTTTTAATTTATTATGGTCCCCGTATGTTCCCAACATGTCCACAAGTCTCAAGCTTGACTGAACCCAGGTGACACAAATATAAGATGGTGTACACAAAAAACATTTTCTTGGTCTCTTCCAGGCGCAGGACTTCTATGTGGAGATGAAGTGGGAGTTCACCAGCTGGGGTGAGCGTGTTTCTTTAATGTGTTTTCACAGAGGTCAGTTTCAGCACCACAGTAGACGGACAGCTCCTCCAGCAGCAGTGTCAGTCAGTTTGAAACATCACTCAAGACGGGGCAGGTTAATTTCAAACTGGAACCCACTACAAGTGACTGATCCCCTTCCTACAGTGTTATCTGTAATGTATTCAACAGGACTGCTCAATAATGTAATGTGGTCTCTTGTGTTTGGATTACTTTGCCTTCTCTAATCTGCAGAAGATTATCAAATAAACAGTTAATTTAATTTTTTTGCACCTGAAAACTTTAGTATCATTCTCCTTTGGTGTAGTACTTTGAGATCGAGATTGGTCTCGAGACCAGACTCAAGAGCACTTTTGTAGATTTCCAGACAACATTGCAACCCACCATGTAAATCTGCTTTTTCTTCACTCTACGTCTCCCGTTCCCTGTTTGGTTTCCCCTTTTCTTTTTGCCTCTTGTTTCTAAACTGCTCCTCCTCTTCCTCGGTCCTCGTCTCAGTGCCCTTGGTGTCGAAGGTGTGTCCCAGTGACGTCTACAGAGTGTGGAAGAGTGGCTCGTGCCTCCGTGTGGACACCACCCTCCTGGGCTTCGAACACATGACCTGGCTGAAAGGACGACGCAGCTATATCTTCAAGGGCGGAGGTGTGTGTGCTCCCTTTAACAGCTGAGGTTGATGGAGGATTTTGTCATCAAAACTTGACAAAACTTGACTTTTGTGTGCTCCTCTCAGATGAAGGTGCCGTGGTGATGGAGGTGGACCATGAGAAGCAGGTGGTGTACACAGAGCCACTGGTGTTGTCTCCCCGTGACGCGCCCTCCCTCCTGGCAGCCATGCAGCCATCGCAGGAGAACACAGCCCAGAGAATCACATCGCCCATCGTCTCCACGCACCTCAACACACGCAACATTGCCTTCGAACGGTAATCAGCGCATGCTGCGTACAGATCTACAAGCTAGAAGCATTTCATCGAGATCCCGCCTGATTTGTTCTGCAGCGCCATTTATTATGTGCACGCATGCATGCATTTCGTCTCCACGATTAACAATAAACAAATACTGATAACCTCTGTGCCGTGAGCCCTTACTATATCTCTTTCCTTGTTTAGGAACAAGTCGGGAATCTGGGGCTGGCGTTCTGAGAAGAGTGAGGCGGTCAGCGGGTACGAAGCGAAGGTAAGTGATCGCTGAGCCAACCGAGTGTACCATGACTGAAACACATAGTTTAGGCCATTTGGAAGTGAGTTTAGTACAGTTTTGGGACCAGAAATTAACAAAGTGTAAAAAAAAACAAAAAAAAAAAAACAAAGTTTGTTGAAGAGTATTTTGTCTTTATGTGTGTCCAGGTTTACAGTGCCACCAATGTGGAGCTGGTGACTCGGTCAAGGACAGAGCATCTGTCAGACCAGGATAAGTCCAGGAGCAAAGGTGATTACACACTCATTCACAAATGATACACACACTATGTCCTTGTGCTCTTAGAAGTGTAGAAATGGAGAAGGAGCATCGTGTTAAAATTAGTGTTATTGGGCCAAAGAACAACCGCAGATAAATCTGAGCCTAAATTTAAAAGATTAAGTTGTCAAAACTGAGATATAAACTATCAATAGGTGACGAGGTAGCACAACGTTCTGTTTTCGTCCGTGTATGATAGTGCTCCTTTGGCTCCAGGTGTGTCCCTTGCCTTCTTTGTGGAGCAAACAATAGAGCAGATTGATGATGATCTCCCTACATTATTCCCACTCAGGCTCAAAGACCCCTCTGCAGTCCTTCCTGGGGATTGCTGAACAACATACAGCCCACAATGGGGTAAGAGTCTCCACATTACCTTTTGCATCACATCCACATGCACGCCACCCACAGCTTTCTTTGATGAACACCGTCACTTATAACTCTCTCTGGCTTTCTGTCAGAGTAATGTGTCCCAGTGTGCCAGTCCTCACAACCCCACAGCCATCACAGCTGAGGAGTACTTCAACCCGGAGTTCACCCTGAACGGCCGGGACATCGGACGTCCCGTCGAGCTTACCAGCAAAGTCCAGAGGTACGATGCAGCCGTGGAAGCACTGAAGTTCAGCAGCACTTGAAGCTTTCATCTTGGACCAGTTCACTCAAAACTCTCTTCTCTGTCTCGGTGTCCTCTCCAGGTTTAAGGCGACACTGTGGTTGAGTGAGAGTCACCCCCTCTCCCTGGCAGAGCAGGTGACGCCCATCATCGACCTCATGGCCATCTCCAACGCCCACTTTGCCAAGCTGCGTGACTTCATCACCCTGCGCCTGCCGCCAGGCTTCCCTGTCAAGATAGGTGGGTATGTGAGGTCACACTGTGAGGGTCAATTCCTTTTGTGGAGCGAGATGGATGTCTTGAGTTTATTCGATTCTCTACCACTGTAGTTCTGTACTTCAGCTGTCGCTCAATATAAGCTTTATTCTGGCGTCGCTTCTATGCGTGGTTCAGGCTTTTTCTGTTTGCCATCACCCACCTCGACGTCCATGATTCTTACTGTGTGTTTTCATTCACGCTGGTGTTCCTGGAATAATCAGCCATTTAAATCTCTCAAACTCTCACTCCCCCAGAGATTCCCCTGTTTCACGTGTTGAATGCCAGAGTGACTTTCAGTAACCTGTGTGGCTGCGACGAGCTGGTCAGCTCTGTGACGGTTCACACACCAGAGGGCTCCGAAGAAGCTGGTAAATATAAGCTAGTTATGAGGACATTGCACCTTTTTCAAAATGTAAGGCGCTGTGGTGTTGTTTCCAGCACGGAGCACAGGCTTGAGAGTCATTTTTTTGGAATGACAAACCTTTTACTTGCACGTACAGTAATGTTGTAACTCAACTTCACCCAGGTCAAGCTTCACCTCCCTTCCAGTGTGAGGTGGACCCCTCGGTGTTTGAGCCCCCCGCAGACTACACCACCCTCGGTCCAGGCCGCAGCGAGCCAATGAGGGACGAGGATGACAACCTACTGCAGTTCGCCATCCAGCAGAGCCTGCTGGACGCCGGCACAGAGAGTGACCAGGTCAGAGTCAAAGATGTATAGTTTTAGAGCTACGCGTCCTATGTGGGAATTGATTATTTACTTTTTACATCTAAAGCCAGTTGTTTAACACCTTAATGTGGGGTTTTTAGGTGACCATATGGGAGGCCCTGACCAACAGCCGCCCGGTGCCCCAGTCTCCGCTGTTCGAGGAAGACACTCAGCTGGAGAGGTGAGCTGAGCTTCAGTCTCTCGTTTCCTTTACAGGCAGGTTCACGCTGTTCAAACTGGTGAACACTGTGTATCACTTATTTATCAAGCATTTAGCAATCTAGCATCCATGAATTTTGTAATTCAATGTCAAGCGCACAAGCAGAGATGTACGTATATATTGATACGCCTTTTCTTAGATTTCTTTCCCCTAGATTTTGTACTTTATGAACAAAGATTATCAAAAATAAGAGCTGGAGGCTGTCATCCAGGCAGCTTATTCTATCAACTCAATTCAGTTCACCCCAGACAATTAAAAATAAATAAAAAATTGTTACTGTAGAACCATCATGAGGTTTAACTCGTGTCTATTCATAATTCCTTCTGAATGAGGGAAACCTCTGGCTTCTGAAGTAATTTAATTAAACGTCTTTAAATAGAGTTCGGTGATTAGCTTTTTCTTTCCACCTTCTCTCGGGAGCAGCGACTCCCAGACGTCCTGTAATGAAGCCCAGCAGCGAAGCTTCCCTCTTAAGATATCTCTCTTTGTTTAATAACACTTCGGTCTTTATCTTAATCTCTTTCTTGTCTCAGGGCGATCCAGGAGTCTCTGACCATCTCACTGGGCAGCAGAGAGGACGAAGACGCGGCCGACCCCGACCAGCCTGCTGCTGTCTCCCCCGTGTCTGACCCCACCCTAACCTCCAACTCCCCGCTCTCCTACAGCGCAGTGACCGATCCGCGGCTGTCGGGACACTTCGGTGTGGCGTCGAGCTTCGACGAGCAGCTGCGTATCGCAATGGAGATGTCGTGCCGGGAGCAGGACGAGATTGACAGGTGAGGCGGTTGGGAACAATCTGGCCCGCATTAGCTTACCCGAGACAAAGTAAACCCTGGACAGCTCGCTAGTCTATCCCGGGGCTAATGCGTATGCTGACAGACGGTCGTTCACAAACTGACCTGCATGTCTTTGGACTGTGGGAGGAAGCCAGCGCACCCGGAGGAAGGACACCCACACACCTGCACCACCTGCTGCCTGGCTTTAGAAATGGAAAAGTAGAATAAAGACACTTTTTTTTGTCTCCCTCCAATTTCAACAGAGAGTTCCCACACAGGGATCGCTGCAGTCTGCTCTTCCATCTCAAACTGTTGTTGGCACAGTGGGTGTCAGAATATTTTCACTAGTTGTGCACCTTTTAATACCAAGATGGTACAATAAATACATGGTTCAGACGAGGTTGTGGGAGTAGTCCCTGGATTAGTGACGTTTGATGCCTTGGCTGCTTGACGAAATAATCTGACTACTTCACCTCGACTTTCAAGGATAGTGTTTCCTTCCCTGCTGTAATCTGTGACCAGGGTTGATTTCAGGAATATTGAGATTACGGTATTTACAGGGAACTCTCCCCCAAATATACTATTTATGTACCTGCTGTAATCCAGGATATTTAGCACGTCTGTTCTTGTGTGTCTGTTTAGTGAAGCCTTTGTGATGCACTGAAACAAAGGCTTTTGCTTCTCCAAATGAATTACAGAGGAGCTAAATACTAAGTCAGTATAATAACCCATCACCTGTTAGTTGCAGTGTTTTTATTTTTAGAATAGGCATGAATGAGCCTGCAAACAGACTCCTTCAAATGTAGTGTACTTGGACAAAGATTTGTTTTACAAAAAAACTATCACGTGATCTAAAAAATATTAAAGAATAACATCAGAAAATTTATCAGAATTTTTTTTTTCCGGGTAAAGATATAGTAATGGTTATAGGGCTGTCATTGTTCTGACTGCTTTATTTCCTATTTTTGTCGTAGGAGGCAGAAGGAGGAAGAGGATGAGCTGGAGAGGATCCTGCAGCTGTCACTCACCGAGAAGTAATGTCACAACAACAACAACAACAACAACAACAACAATGGAGGTGTGTCTTCATTGGGGAACAATCTTCTTAATTTATTCTGTTTTTAGTTTTTTAAATCCTCAGATGTTAAGTTATTACAGATATTTTATTTGTCTTTCTCACACGAAGGCTGCTTCAACAGATTGTGAAGGCGCAGAATATAAGAGGTGGGAGGGATGAATAAGAGGAGGTGCTCTGAAACACGCTACAGTGAAAGGAGGAGACAAAAGAGAGGCAATCTTTGTTTTTCTTTTTTTATTGAATCTTTTTCACGGTCTTGCTGTCTTGATTGAGTGACGAATGATCCTTAAACTTAAATCCTATAACATGTTCCACGATAATTATGAAAAATAAGAAAATACAATCTTAATGGAATAACTTATAAAAAGATATGATTGTAACATTTGTGTTGGGTTACTACTGTGTGTGAAAAATAAAGAATAATGATCATCCTGGATCACACTTTTTTCATCCAGTGCTTTTGAAGAAAGAAGCAAACATAAGATTACGTTTTGAATTTCACAGTTCGATCATTCTTTTTTCAAAAACATGAAACATGATAACCTTCCAAACTACCAAACAGAAAACATCCATATCTCATTGATACATCTTGTTTGTGTCATTAATAGTGAATATGAAAATAAACGTTAAATCATATTCTAATCTATTCAAATCTGGGTCATAAAGTTGTCTGTATTAAACTGTAGTCTCTCGTCATTTATACTCAAAAGATACTTTACTACGTCGTTTAACGGTCACAGTGATTTTGTAAATCTTTCATCAAGAAAATACTAATATATCTTAATATTCAGTGTTTAAGTTGTAGGCTACTGTCGCGATATAAAAATTGTGTATTTAAATTGAAGAGGTTTTAAACTAACAGCTCAGGGTCCAGATTCAGAAGGTCACCCATGTGTTTAGTCTTATTTGTAAATTTGGCTGGCAAATACATTAATTATTTATTATATTATATATTTACTAAATATAAGCAAAGCTATTGACATTCCTATCATCCTCAGCTGTGCTTTGTGCTAATTAGCTCATGTTAGCATGCTAACATGCTAAACCAAGATGAACCATCTTTTTGCTTTGAACGGTGTGTTTGGCTAACAGCTAATGGAACTACCAATACACACACTGCTGTAGCAGACAGACGGCTTGGTGGGTTTAGTTTAGTTTTAGGAAAGATTGTATGAAGTGTCTTATACGACGGCTTTGACCTGGTTGTCTGCATACATCGCTGCTTTTTTTTTGTTTGAATGATGTGTGTTTTATGGCGTGTTACAGCTCATCGGTGTCCAGACCAGTGTCCAGTGTGGGTTGTATTCAATCACACAGTACAGCAGTGGTCGTTGCAGACCCAGCTGATCTGCACTCTACCGATTGCCCCTTCCTAGTTTAAATTTGAGACCCTTACTTTAAGAAATTGAGAACTTTTTTTCATTTTAATTTAACCGCCACAAACTTTGTCCAGTGCATTTTTGAAAGACACTTAAGGTGGAGCATGTAATTTCACAGCTGAAGTTAAAAGTTAGTTATTAAATGAGAAGACTAGTGAGGTCCTCACCGAGCAACAGCAGTACAAGCCTCACTCTGCGGCACTCTCTGTGGTCCACTGTGCTGTGCCGGAGTGGGATTTTACAGTGGTTTCATTCCTCTTTGTGGTGGCTTCCATCATGTCCGTTTCTGTGTAAAAGTTTTCCCTCCGTAACTTTAAAACTTCCCGAAGCTCTCCATCCATCTGAACTAGTTAAGAGAAAAACATATATATGTACTCATTTAGACTGACTTTACTCGCTCACATGCACACTTTTATAGCTGTTATAGTGTTAACTTTAACATTCACTCATTCTCACCTAGCATTAGGTTGTGAACATCAGGACACTGATCCTCAGGAACCACATATTTGTCCTCCTCTTGTTTGGTTGGAGGCGGCAGAAGCTCGGCTTTGGTCTGTGAACGCAGCATAGGGGCCACTTGTGCCTTGGGTACTATTTTAGGTGTAGTTGAGGTGATGCTGATACACTTTGGAGCAGGTGACACATCTGTTGAACACACACACAAACAAACATTGTTAGGAGTTGTGCACATGCCACTGAGACTGTAACAGCAGCATTCTTCTCACCGATGCAAGTGTCGTAGGGCTGAAATTCCATGTAGGGATGAAGACGGTACTCCGTCTTTTCAAGGAAGTATTGAAGTACGTCGTCCAAGGAGGAGACCGTCACCTGCAGAGAGGAGGACACATGAAGACAAGCAAAGACAAAGAAGATGAATATAGCTTTATAGAGCTATGGGACTTACGGCCGTGTCCAGTTCGATGACAAACCCAGAGTTTGTGGTGGTCACTCTGAAGTTCTTTATGACTGGCCCACTGAAACACAAACGAGGATTATTTGCTTACTGCTGATCACGCATTGATATATTATTATATGAAATGTAAACAAATTGGAATGAGCAAAAAACAGCCACCACCTCTACATGTGTTCATCCACCAGCTGTAGCATCTCATGAATTACATTACACGGGCACAACAATGATCCATATGTTAGTGAGGGACTTCAGTAACACTTGTTATACTTGGATGTAGAAAAATACTTTTTTTGTAAATTTTAAATAATAGTGCTGCTCTTCCTGTTCATTTGTCAGAGGAAAGAAAACCTGATATTTAACTCTGACTTTGTGAGAATTGAGAAGTGTAACCTAAATATAATTTGGTACATTTCAGACAGACCTGGGCGTCAGTTGTCTGAGGGTTAGTGCGTAGTTGTTGGCGAGGGTGGAAGGGCGCAGGATGATGCTTCCGCACTCTGGGTTTTCCTCCAACATTCGCTCAGCCTCCTGCCGAGTCACACTGAGGAAACACCTGCAGGAATCGAAGAAAAACACGAAGCACTTCCTCATTGCCAGTGCAGGTAATAAAGATGAGGGTGTGTTGTGTCAGAGGGCAAGGGACGAGAACGTGTTCAGCAATTTATGACAACAGGAATAGATAAACGGACAGTGATGTCAAAAGTTCACAGGAAAATCTCCGTCCACCTTTTAGTTTTGTCTTTCCTGTAGTGTTGAACATCTATAGACTGGTCCTATAGTTGTTTCTGGAGACAGACTCTCTTAACTTACGCAGGAAGCGCTGAGGCGCAGTGGTCAAGCTCGTCTTTGGGCGTTGTAGGGGAGGAGGAGGCTGAGAGGAGGAAGGGCGGTCGGGGTGGGAGGGCTGGACACGCCCTGGTTCTTCTCCTCTCCTGATCCAGAGCATCCTGCAGCAGCAACATCTGGCCAGGCAGCAGCTGCATCTTACTGGGAATCTGTTTCTGCGGGGAAACGGAGCTCGTCAACACTGTTTTACTCATTGTCATTAATAATCTAATCTACTAATCGTCAATTTTAGATTTGTAACAAGTTAGAGAACACATCCCGGTGTGTGTGGTTGTAAATTCTTGACTTCCTCTGAGAAATCAAATGAATCAACTTTCTCAGGAAATCTGTGACCTGTGTTTACCCAATCTGCTTAGAGTTCAGGTGCAGCATTTCATCAATCCAACAGAAAACACCTGCATCCACCCACTCCCAAATATTTACTGATGCAGTTTCTCTGTCACATATGTAATAGATTACTTGAATCTTTACTTTCACTTTGCAGATATTGCTGCTTTCTTCTTGGGAGTTTGTCCCTAGAAGCATCCTGAGCCATATTAACCATTAACCAGGAAATACTTGATTTCTGTGGTTTGTTGAGCTTGGCTTTGTGTATGAAATAGGTACAGTATTACACACAGAAAATAATTATTGTCAAAAGAGTGCAAAAAAATACAATTATAGAAGTTGTGCTGTTGTGTGTAGTTAAATACTTGGACATTCAAACTTGGACATTAAGGGTTTGTTTTTGCTTCTTCTTTTATTTTTTTTACGAGAACTCAATATTTATTCGGTACCATCAACAGAAACTGTCTCTCTGTGTTTGCTTACTTTGACCACAGTCAGGATGTAACCCCTCCACTCTTCTCCTGTGTCAGCGTTCTCCATCTGTACAGTCACACAAACGGCAGACATTTTGGTTGTGTGCCACATTCCATATAATATTTATTTGTAAATTAAAAGTTTTTGTAAATTCCAGTCAGTTTTCTTTGAGTTACATGGACCCTAGACTGACTCAATCTCGGAGAAGAGAGAAAAACCCCACCTTTAGCTGCACCTCCTCTGTGTGCAGGGTGAGGGTGAAGATGGTGGGTTCCTTCCTCTGATAAGGAGAATCTAACTCCATGGACTTTAGCCGTTCCAAGTCCAACTTCTCTGTGTACTGACAAAGGTAACAAACAAGAATTATCACTTTTTATCAGACACATGCTTGATCAATAAAAGTGAGGAGTGACTAAGGATATGGTTATAAGAAAAATAAATCTTTGTGTCTGCACATCACCTACTTTCTGATATCCCTTCAACAGTGTTGTTGTTTATAACTGTATGTCTATTATCGGGGAAACAAATGTTAGATTCACCGTTTAATTATATATGATTTATTTATTTGTTATTTTGTATATCCTAATGCTGCTGAATCAGAATCAGAAGTGGTGAATTACCAAGTATATTTGCATATACAAGGACTTTGACTCGATGATTGGTGCAGAACAATAACCACAATGAAATAAAAGATGAAATAAAAAATGAGAATAAGAATAATTATTATAGAATATGAAAAACAAATATATAAGAATATGTTACGTGTCTGTATAGTTACTCATAAAGCTTAAGATAGAAGTGCAAAGTTAACCGTTTGCTTACCGTGTCTTGTGTGTCATCTTTGTACAGAAAGAGTGTGGCTCCTCGGAGCTCTCCGTAGTACTTCTTGAAATCCTGAAAATCAAAAATTGTCATTATGGATGTCTGTTCTTGACACAACATTCCCAAATTAAACAGAATTTAAGGCACTCATAAAACAAATTGAAATTGCAAACACCACCATTTATTACCCATGTAGTCATAACCCATTTTCTAAATTCTACACATTTGTCTGCATGACTTTTTCCGTCTTCATCCTCACCTTCTCTTTGGTGAGTTTCTTCAGCAGCTGTCCGGAGTAGTAAAGAGGCAGATCTGTGATAGTGGCCCTCCTCTTGTGAACAATTCTCGCTGGCAAAGACATCGTCCTGCAAAATCAATGAGCTTCGACTGGCTTGGTTTGTTTAAGCTTTGGCTCACTTATCTTCTGTTTTCATTAGCGTTGACCAAACACTGTAGTTGGGTCCTGAGAGAGTTTTGTTCCTTGTTGATTCCTCGTGAAGCTCTCAAAGCAGTGATGGATTCACAATGAGTCTTATATCTGTTATGATTACTGGTCCATAAACCTGCACTGATAATCTCCTCTAGCCCTTTGCCCTCAGTCTTAGTGCTGTTTGGACTCTGAGAATGAGGAAACGCTGCAGTGATTTATAAAGAAGGAAGTAGTTTGTAAGAATCCCCAAATATAATCCACTTGTGGACTTTGAACCTAGGCGTTACTAAGAAACACGGCAATGAAGCATGCAAGCATGTCTGCACACACACACACAGATTACGAGTTATAAAGTCAGTCTTAATTTGCAAGCCGGATTAATTATTTCCATTTAACACATGCTCAATATCAGCGTGGTGTCAATGCATTCAGGGAGATTTCTTGCGTGAGAATTTGTTAATATTCAGTCACAGTTTAGACTTTTTATTGGCTTGAGTTTATATCATTAAATTAAAAGAAATATACACAGCCAGTACACACTCACACACACACACACAGCCTCAACCCACACTGGACCAGCTAGGGGTTAGGCTTCAGTTGCTGGATAAATGTAGATGAAATTCATTATAATATCAAAGAAATGTTTGTAAAATGTAGTTTTACTTTTAGAGGAGTGTCAATATATTGCAAGAGGACAGAAAAAGAGGCAGGCATGTTGATACTTTTTCTAATTCTAAACTTCTGGCTTGCTGCATTGCACCTAAAAAACGACATTAAATTGACGTGCATCAACAAAACCACGTCTATAAAACAGTAGATAGATACAGTATGTTTGTCATTATGAAAAAGATGCTTTATTTTAAACAGCTAATTAGTTCACAAGTTCATATTTCTCCATCTTACGATGCCAAATAGAGACCTGTGTGGACGCAAGTGACCATTATGTCAAATGATTGAACTTAACAGCACAAATAGAGAAAATGTCTCTTATTCCACAAAATCTATCCAATGTTTGCTAACATTAGCCACCGTGACCAAGACCATACCGGACCAAGTAAGGATGTGTGTTTTGTTGCTTTTAAATTTAACACAACATTCATTTCTAAGAGAAAGAATGTGTTTCTTCTTCCTTCAAAACGTTTTGATATCCGAGAGGTATACGTGATCCATTTGACTTTCACCTGGCGAAAATGAGCAGTGAAATGCAAACACAGAGAAACATGCCATAAACGTACACAGGAATGGTGGTTGCGAAAAACACAGCATTACATGTATAATGTAGCAGCAGTATAACGCAGGTCAGGAGAAACGACGTGCAGCAACACAGAGGGGATGCAGAAATAGAGATGAACCACAGCAAGAGTTTGATCAACGAGACGAACATCTGGAGGAGACGCAGGAGCAACCAAACAGTCCAGAACAGCAGACATCCCATCAACCACAGAGCTTTGGACGGAAGAAAGACATCAGCATCCTAAAAGAAAGAGAAAGAGAGACTCTTTTTGTCTTGTCTAAGGAAGTTGTGAATGAGTGTTTGAGTTAATTTGGGCTTACATAGTCTTGTGCATCATTGTCTTCTTTGCCAACTGTTCCCACTTTAGAAAGAGACAAAAACATTGTGTATCACTGGGATCGAGAGAAAACACTGATGTCACAGAGGCATATACTGTAACTATTCATTCATAAATCTGATAAAAGGCCACTCTGATGTAAGGTGTATCGAGCTCTTTTATAAGTGGTTGTACGTTAAGGAAATTCCTCTGTGAACTTCTTTCATTCAGTACATTCATGATAAACATTTAATCACTTACTGAGGAAAGTGAATGCCAGGAGAAAAGATAGCACACAGGTCATCCACAGCCATTTCTCTCCACGCCTGTTCCTTCTCTGTGCTTCAACCTATAGTGTGTTTATACCAAAAGAGAAGTTTATTTTACAGTAAAAAATGTAATACAAATTAACGACAACAACCAAGTGTAATAAAAGAAATAGCAACATATTTCATGTTGTAAAACAATGTGTATGTCATCTTAATTATGACCCCCAAAAAATAATATGAATAAAATATTATTATTCTACATTTTGCAGAACCTTTGTGCACATGTACTGCTATTGATACAAAACGACTGATTTTACAACCCAATATAACTTTTAAAACCAACAAAAACATTATAAATTAGACTTTCAGAGATATTTTATTTTTTATTTTTACTTACTGTTTACTTACTACTACTTACTCATTATATTATCATCATCAATGGTCAGGAAAAGGCCTGTTCCCTCAGTGCGGCTGTATAGTCTATTTGCAACATCGCCAGCATAGCTGGATAAATAGATATAATAGCAGCAGCAGTAGAAGGCCTTTTACATCAGTGGTTCTCAACTGCTCTGGCTGCATCACCCCTTAATGACAAGCCGCAACCCAAATTATATATATATATATATATATATACTTCAAGAAGTCTAAAATAAGTTACATTACATAATTCATTTTAGAAAAGTTATTTTCACTGAATTGCCCTGCAGCTTTAAATTCAATTCATTCAGGGTAAATTGAAAAGGCCACAATATCATATTTTCTTCATCTTCCTCATCTTCTAAAAAGAGAATTTAGTGTAGGAAGAATTCACCTATATGAGTCTGTCCAGTCAGAGTCTAATGACTGGTCTTTCTGGCCAATTTTCTCTTTTGGAGATTATCCTGTGATTTGACTTTCACAACTCACACCTCAGCGGTCCTGCTCTGCTCTGTATATCCTCTTCTCTCCCCCGTGTGTCACGGTGTGTGTACATCGCACTCAAGTCAGGAAACTTGTCAGAATGCCCATATTTGATTGGCTGAGCTTTATCACGTGATGTGATTCACAACGTATTGGTCGGTGTTTTTCCTGCACCGCTGAACAAGTTCCGTAAATGCTGGAATAATTGCGCTGCATAAAAAATGCCCTTCAGAATAAAATCACAACTTTTTTTTGGTTTATCAGGTAAAGTACCGCGACCCACTGAAAACGGGTCCGCGACCCACCAGTTGAGAATCACTGTTTAATGTAATTTTACCTGTGAGAATAAACCGCCGACTGCTGCCTGATCATACGTCCTGCAGATGCTCATGATATGAGCCAGACAGCGGTGGTCTTTGAACTCACCACAGCTGCTGAGTGATGGACACTGTGAACAATTATCGTCATCATCACCACCATTGGAGCTCCTTAGGTCGCTGACCTTTAGGTCGCTTTGATGTCCACATCGTAGGCCTGAAAGGAAAAATTATTTTGGTTCATATCAAATATCTTCTGGAGCAGCTGTGAAAGCATTGAAGTGTACACACACAGTCAAGCTTGTTGCACATTCTACATGGTTACAGATATAGAGGAGAAGGGCAGTGATGACTAGGGTTGGGTATCGTTTGGGTTTTTTCCGATACCGGTGCTAAAACGATACTTTTAAAACGATACCGGTGCCAAAACGGTGCCTGAACCGATACTTTTTTCTTCAAATTGAACAATATATTAACTGTTAAAGTATACTATAAATATAAATAAATACAAAACACTTCGCTTCAAACTACAGCTTCAAACTTTTTAACTTCAAACTATGAACAATATATTAACTGTTAACAGTTTATAGTATACTTAAATAAATATAAATAAACACAGACACACACACACTCTGTACACACACACTACAGCTTCAAACTTCAGCAATTATTTTGCAGAAATATGAGCATATATGCCTTCTCTTGCAAAATACGACCTCTCCTGACTTATTTTATTTTATTTAACTAGTTGGTGGCGCTAATGCGCCAATTCGTCGTTTGCCAACCGCCACTACACCTCAAAGAAGAAGAAGAAGGTTTCGCGTGCCTGTGCATGTTAGCGCTAAGTACCCGGATGTCGATAGAGGAAGTCAGTAGCCTGCCAGCCGTATGACAGATCTCGTTCTTTGTTTTTTTTAATAAATCATGGCCGAAGCTTCGCCAGAATGATGGAGGGGTTTGTTTCTAAGCGCGCACGGCTCGTCCGGTTGTAATAATACTATGAGTGAGGAGCGGAGGACCGATGCTATCGTTAGCATCGTTAGCTAACCTAGGACGGAGTCATCAGAGTAGTGTCAAAAAAGTATTTCAATCGGCTCAGGCACCGAAATCTGCGTTGCATTTCGGTCCGGTAGATACCGGTCGTATAGGAACCGGTACCATACCGGCACCGGTTTTCGGTACCCAACCCTAGTGATGACCTGTTGGCCACTCTTCTTGTATATAAGTGGCACTGAAGTTAGTCATGTGATTTCTTTGTCCTCGGAGTGCTATAGCGATTTATTGTACACGACTTGATGTTGAGACACTCCTTAACGTGGTTTGTCTCTATCACAATGTGATTGTTTTACTTTAAACCTATCAGTGTTTTGTGCATCATTTTAACTGTTTGTGTGCATTTCGGGTAATTTCCACGACACCAGGTAAAAAATATACACTAGTTAATTCAAAAACTGCTTTTGACTGTCTATGCATATACGCAGTGTAATTTAGGGCATCGACAGGCCTGGCTCATGTTATATCACAGCCTGAGGTCTTTGATCGGGTACCTCTTGGTTTTGTTGTCTAGACCAAAAATAACCCCCTCTGGGTTGCCTTGTGCACTTGTGCCACTGTTCTCCTAGCAACTGTGGCTTGCCTCATAATGCTCGCTGGAGAATTGGCTGCAAAACTAATACCTAAAAACAGCTCATTACTGGGAGACTGCTGGAGGGTGAGCAGTCAGTTCAGTTTTGTTGTTTGTAAAAATCTGTTTCTTATCTCGTCTTAACAAGCTGCAGCTTAAAGGTGTCAGCTCTGTGCAAACTTGCTGATATTGTTGCTTATAACCAAGCACATCACTGTCAACTACTGCCCCCTGCTGATAAAAGCTTCTACTAGATATGTTGCTGTAATGACGACTCAGTTCAATTTAGGATGTTGAATGTTGTACACAGACTGTGAAGCCCCCTGAGAAAGAAATGTGATTTTGGGCCTCAGAGGTAAAACTGATTGTGTGTGATGTCAAGTAACTCGTGGGATCCCGCTTTGCACCTTTAAGTTGCAAACCTATGCACACGTATTTTGGCAAACTGCAGAAGTTTGAACATCTATAACAAAACATTCCTATACAACTATGCAGATGTACACAGTAAAAACATTTGGCACTGTATGTCTGCTCTCTACATGCCTCCCACAGACTGATGCCCATCGCTGGCCACAGATTTCTTTCTCAGCGGTGTTCTTTGACCCCTCGGGTCCCTCTGGCATCTCCCATCTCCTCCTTTAATCCCTCTTGCTGGAGGGGAGGCCAGGGAGACGCACACTAAGGAGAGAAAACAGGCATTGTTCTCCATCACGGGGCCCATAATGATGCCCCCCCTCAACCACTGGCTGAGGAGAAAATGGCCACATGGGTGGCAGGGATGGGGGATAATATGTTGGAATGATGAAGCTCTGTTAAGTCTGAAACAACAGCATGCGTATATATTCGTTGACTCCAAATTATGTAAATAAAACATGACAGCTGAAGTATATCATTTCAGTTTTATTTCAACATCTTTGTAATTGTGATTTGTGTTTCTAAATCGATGTCAGCCATGTTTTAATAATCAGGAGGTCTTTTGCAGCCCCGTTCAGCCGTAATGACACGGACGCCCTAAACAAGAGGACAGATGAGAGAAACACAATAAGGCTCAACTCAAATCAGACATAAGTGATCACGCTTTGATGCAGACTGACCTAAGAGGTCTGGATTATGATTAGCTGGCAGACCAGGGTAAAAGGTCAGGGTGGGGTGGGACCATCCCCAGGCTTCATTACAGGAACATGGCTGGTGGTGGTAGACGCAGCAGGAGACGTCCCCTCCTGGAAAACAAAACAGGATCACTTTTATTTCTCTCCCTACCTCCATCCCTCTACCGCAATTGTGCCTTGATCTAATTAGTAGAATGACAAAATACATGCACGTGTGTGTTCCTAGCTGTAAGGATGCATATTAATTCACGCAATCCCCTATTCTAATGGCTGCAGTGATGGAGGAGTGGAGGTGTAATCTGGCCTGTAATGAGAGGCTGGGGTGAGGCGGAGGAAGGGAGAAGCAGAGAGCCTGCTGGCTGAGAGGACAGAAGCCTGGGGCCATGAGGTGGAGCTCCTGCTGCGGAGGTTGTTTCAGCCAGAGTAATGTTAACACAGGACCACCGGCTTTACTCATCGGTCTGTAACCACTGTAATCTCTGTGTCTGCTCTGCAAATACATCCATCTACTCAACATGTTTAATCTATGTGGAGACTGACATTTTGGGTTTTTTAAACACAGGACTATAAGTCACAGGGGAGAATGGTCATTTCTTTTTTTGAAATTAGAACCAACTTGTTTTAGAGATGGTCTGATTTATTTCAGTGATGAAGAACACTTGATGACAAAAATGGAGGAGCTGCTGACAGCAGGAAAACAATGGGAACTATAGCTTGGAAAGCAGATTAAAACAAAGTTTTAAATTTCTGGAAAAACAAACAAACAAAACAAAAATATTTAGATGTTTATTTGTCAGGTTTCCAATTTTGAAACAAGTAGTAGTGGTGAAGCCGCAGTTAGACTATCGTCCATTATCCATCTTATGGCATTCCAAACTACCAAAACAAGAGAAACAAATATTCACATATATATTCATTTTCAAAACACACACAAATACATTGATCCCATTCACAGACTATTTTACCTTCTGCATGTTTGCTGCATTTCCTTATTCCCAGAATTCCACTGATGGAATAGGTGGACTCAGAGGAATAGGCTGTTCCCATTGCAACAGATGATGCCGATGATACTGCAGAGTCAGAGGTCAGTGTTAGGAAACATTAGAAACACACAGATAGGTCAAGAGAGAGTAGAAGGGACAGAAAAACGTACCAACTTCACAAGACTCGGACTGTACTTTGTTTCTGATGATCCTGTAAAGACAGAGGGATCTCAACTCATTTTAATGATCTGTGTTGTCAAGCGCACAAACACACACATGCGCTTGCTCGTCGATACCTGTTGATGGAGCTGATGCTGGGCACGCCGTCATGGTTGCACACTCGCTCCAGCAGCAGCCTGTCTCGGATCTCCCAGGCGAACATGGTGGGGTTAGTGTGTTTCAGGTGTAGGATCATCTGTACAACTCTGGGAGTGGCCACTTTGGGTTTAGAGCCTCCAATCACGCCCGGTCTGATGCTTCCTGTGTCATTGTACCTGAATTTTACAATATTGATGTCAGCAGGGTTAACATATTACCTGAGGAGAAAGTTTAATAATAGAAGATGATGATGTGATTCACGTATCTATATATATAATATGAAATAAAGTGAGAAACAGCACAGAGTAGATTTAAAGAACAGGAAAACCACATAGTCTTGAGATTCATATCTCAAAAAATAATTAATTTCTGAGTAATGCATTCATGGATGACCACACACAGCATATTTTGGATGGTCCAACATTAAACTGCAAATATTATGCATAGACATGAAAGTGTGCAGTTTTTAGATACATTTCCAAATTACTCATTAACTTTTTAAAATGTGCTGTGCACAGTGTAACGCTTGTGACTTGAAACGTTAAAAATATTATTATTATAATTCTTATAGGCAATAATATTGTTAAAATGTATACAAGTCACCCAAAATCTGCTTCATCAATATATGAACCACTTTATATCAATAAATAGGCTAAAAAAAGCTTTAAAAAAGGACATTTTACCTCGCCAGTAGCTTGCTGACACAGCCGTGACTGACGCGCAGGCAGCGGGAGATCTCACAGGGACGCACGCCCCGTTGCGCGAGCTCCACGATGCGCTGTCTTATCACGTGCGGTAACGGGCGCCCGTTAATAAAGACACCACCGAGCTGGTTCACCCCGCCGTACCCTGAGGACCGGAGCGGATCAATATGATTCCGTGATGGGGTAGGCTACACCTTAGGTTACTCTATAGGTTGAGGTGGCACCTCATAACTTTAATTTAAACAGCGTTACTTACTGTGCGTAACGGTGAGCGGCACCTGTCCAAAGCGTGCGTCCATCACAGACTGACTCTAAAAAAGTCTGTAGCTTAATTCTACTTAACTTCTCGTTGTTTGGTATGAAGTTTAACCTAACTGGTTTCAGGGACGAAACATTTACTCATTCAAACAGAAAAAAATTAAGAGAGCACTGTTCAGATTTTTGTCCCTATATTTTTGGTTGTGGTGCGGAGTGACAGCAGTGTGCCCTCAGCACCTGAGCGGTGGACAGTTGCAGGAGCCTTTCATTGGGCGCACATGCACGGGTGCACGCGCTCCATTATCTTTTTGCAGTCAAGGCGCTGATCAGAGCTGTAGCCAGGATTTTTAGAAAAACAGAAGTCATACGCACCCCACGAGTCTAAGCAATGATAGCCTAATTTGATTTTTCATTCAGGTAATCGTTCAATAACCAAAGTTAAAGCCCCAAAAATCCCTAAAATGCTAGAGCTACTTGTGATTTAAACTTATTTCAAACAAAAACATGCAGTGGGCCAATCTTTTGAGGTACCTTTTAAATTGAGTACCATTTATTTCTATTCCTCTAGGATACATTTCAGAATTATATACTGTAGAGTACTTTTTACGCAATTACATTCATCCATATACTGTATATATCTTTATATATACATACTATAAATGTATCTGACAGATAGGCCAAGACGTTGACAAAATCAATACAATTCTTTACAAAAATCAACTCCAGGGTTTTCGGGAGTGAACTTGTTGTCTAACTCCGTGTTTTTAAACGCTGGGTGCAGTTTTGGTTGTCCAACATTTTAACTCCCGGAAATGGTCTTCAAACCTCTGCTTCAAACATATAACGCTAGCTAACGTTAAACAAGAGTGGAAGTAACAGCTCTTTCGGTTGTATGGAGGAAGTATTAGTATTGTGTATTGTGTGCAGTCGCAACAAATTTATAATTAACAAAAAAACGGTGAGCACTCGTAAAGTGCCAGTGTAGACTTCATTTGACGTGGTTGTGTTTACTTATTTAGCTATATTAGCTACCTTGGCTACAACAGAGCTAACAGTATTTAGCGTGAGCATAGCACCGCCGGTTGGCCTGATGTTAACCCACGTGTCTGTACATTTTGATTGTCTACATATACACCTCATAATTACATGTTCAAAGAAAAACAAACACAACCAAACGATTTTATTGCCCTTTGCTAACAACTTAAAAGTTGTAGTAACTTGAATGAGCCGTTAGCCACCGCTGTTTTGATAGTAGTGCAGTGAGCCGTCGCTAGGTGGTGCTGTTCAGCTGCTGTTTCTGAGGCTGTGGATTATACCATGGAAGATGATGGTGAGCAAGGAAGCAAAGACGACATCATCTTTATTGAGGACTTAAATAGTTCAGAAGAAGAAGAAGAGATCAAGTTCAGTCACCAGAAACGTCACAGCAGCTGTAAACGGGCTGCACGGCTCAGCAGGGAAAGCTCTCCTTCGCTCCTCCTGGCGTTCAACATCACCTCTGGACGAGCGCTGCAGCTCAGCAGCACGAGTCCTACTTCCAGTTTAGACTTGCAGCAGGAGGAGGAGGACAGTGACCGGCCCATCGAGGAGTGGATGCTCCTTGGAGGAGAGGAGCAGGGGGGAGACTCAAGCATCCAGCTCAACCTGAGCTACAGGGACCGCTGTGAGGATGACTCTGGAGATGAAGGTTAGACCGTACTGGATCTCACTCTGGGTTAACATCGTGCTGCTATCTAGTACCCTGTCTCAAAGCCTTACTACTAGTGCAAAACAAAAGTGTTTTATAGAAGTCAAAGCGCTTTAACGCTACATGTCATCATTCATCATCACTGATGACAGGGGCTTCCGTGCAAGGTGCCACCAGCCCATCAGGACTAACTAACCTCCACACCCATTCATACACCAATTTTTGGGGCTAAGTGTCTTGCCAAAGGACACATCGACATGGACTAGTGGAGCCGGGAGAGCCACAGTCGCTCTATGTGTGTTGTATGATAATATCACTCCTGTTTTAATAAGTGTAAGTGAATGACTATGATGACAGCTGATATCCGGTGGCATTGTGCAATACAGGGAAAAATCAATACAAATCATCAGAACTGGCCCAGTAGTTCAAGGCATACTTGTTTTATTCAACATTATGGGAATGGTTAAAGATTCATATTTTCTTCAGTTAAAATCTTGTGATTTTACTATTTCATTTGTGATTTTAGTTGAAATGGTGAGAACACAGCTTTAAATTGTGCCTTAGTTTAATGAAAAGTTATTGCTGAAGTAAAACAATGAACGCATATTATTTTCACTTTTTCTTTTGTTTGAATTGTGTTCTACATGTCAAGAGGTATTGTGCCTGAGAACAACACCAATATAACTTTAATTGTGGAATACATTCACCTCTACAAAACCTGCTGTTCTCCTTGGTCCTTCTCTCCGTCATAGACCAGGCTGTGAAGTCAGTGAAGGATACCTGGGCTGTGTCAGAGAGAGACAAGGTAGCGTGTGATTCACTTTCTATTCATTTTCAGAAATGCTACAGGTGAGCTAATTTATTCAAGGAAATGCATCTACTATTTTTATGTCATCTGGTTTTGCAGCATGTACACAGTATTATGAACTTACAATTCTGCCTTTTAAATAATATCTGTCACGTCTTTGTCCTCTCACATTATCCAGCGCGGAGCTGATCGCTCTCTGCCCAGCCGCTATTTTATGACTGGTCGTTCTCTGATCTGTCACATTTGCAAAAAGGTGGGACACCTTCCCAAAAGCTGCTACAACCATAAGGTAAAGGAACACACTCAGCTACTCCTTTTCTTTCAGACACACATAAAGTACTTTCACACTGTCGTTAGGTATAAAGCAGATATCATGGTCTTGTAGAAGAAATAACCGCTGTGGGAGTTTAATGGCGACTATTTAGTTTGGGGCGACCGTGGCTCACTGGGTTAAGAGGGTTGTCTGGTAACAGCAAGGTCAACGGTTCGATCCTCGACTGGGACGTGCCACGTGTCGAAGTGTACCTGAGCAAGACACTGAACCCCCGGCTCCCCGGGCGCCTGTCATTGGCAGGCCACTGCTCCCTATATACAGGGATGGGTCAAATGCAGAGACAAATTTCCCCCTTAAAGGCATCAATACAGTATAATAAATTAATAAAGTTTAAACCTAGAATGTGTTACTCTGCTGTTGTGAAGTTTATGCTGTCAAATAAAAAAAAAAAAGAGACGACAACATTATGGCAACATTAATGTTGCCATATTTTTGGTGTTTCTGTCAGCAGAAATGTGCCACCTGTGTTCTTTGTGGGACACAGGGCCACATCCAGAGAGACTGTCCGGGCCGCCCCTGCCTCAGCTGTGGACTGCCATCACATGGCCCCGGGCCCTGTGAAAGGCCCCGGGTGTGGAACCAACACTGCCAGCGCTGTGGGATGTCAGGGCACCTCTCTGATGTGAGTTTATGTTGGGGGTTTGGGTTTCTGTGTGGATGGAAACTTTGAAAGGATTTGTCAGTTGTGTGGTGACATATTGTGTATCCTCAGGCATGTGTGGGCCTATTTTATGAAGTGTTACTCTACCTTGACAGTTCCTAATCTGCACAATGCTCTTTACTGTATTCCTGCTCAAGAGTCATTTTCTCCTTTGTTCTCTGGGTTTCCCTCAGGCCTGCCCTGATACGTGGAGACAATGCCACTTGACAGTGAGTTGGCGTTTTGACTTTACTGCCCTTTTATTATCGCACCTTCTTTACTAAGAAGATGCATAGATGTTCTTTGTTTGACCTTTTTTCCAGAACCGGTTAGAGCTTCCAGTCAAGCCGTGGACAGTCCACATCCTAAGGAAGAAGAAATGCCCCGCTCATTGTTACAACTGCTCTAAGAGGGGACACTATGGCTATGTAAGTGGCCAGTGAAAGGAATCCTTCTTTTACCTTTAACGTCTCCTTTCCTTCTTGAGTTGATCTCTCTGTCTGTCTACACTGTCTCAGGGCTCTCGCTGCCTTCCTTTTCCCGTCTGTATACCTCCGTACAACATATTCTCCCTCTTTTTCTCTATCTTCTTTTGGATTGGACTTAACTGTAGTTCACTCACTTTGAATGTTATCTACTGTGTCGGTGTTAGGAGTGCACTAAGAGGAGGATGATCAGTGGGACTTTTCCCTCACTGCCGTATGTCTGCCACTATGACACCATCGACGATGTCCTCCAATGTCGCACCAGGAAGCAGAAAAGAGCCAAAGGTGACAAAACATATATTCTAGTATATACAGTATTATTATACATACAATTATGTAAACATTTGCTTAAAATAGTGTTTTATTTATGATAATTTTGCATTATTTAAATAGTTATCATTGATATAAATGATGTGGACAAAATAATAGATAACAGCTACACAAATTTCAGCCCCCAAAATCACTGTACAGTTGAGTCAACACCTCTAAAACATTTTTTACTTTTTTATTATGAATTTAATGAAGGTAGGAATTGTTTTGCAGGACTGTTGTATTGGACTGCCCTAGTTTTAGCTTGGGGTACCTAATAAACTGGTAACCGTCTGGCTGTTTAGCTACCATGATGTTCACCGACTGGTCTCTAACTTTTGCTGTCCACGTTTGGTGCTCGGCATATAGTCTGTTTGGTTTTATCAGCTGCCTGCTGCCGCTAAAAACAGATTTAATGAGAGCAGTGAGAGTGAAACTAAACGGTAAAGTTGTGGGCCGTTAAAACCAACACAATGTGCTCGGTGGAGCTGCAAAGAACTGTGGAGTTGGTTGATAATTGGCTCTGGGTTTGCCTTGTTGAGCAGCCCCTTTCACTTTATGTTGACCTTTTTGTTTATATAAAAATATTAATTAGTGCAGCTGTAAAGAACAACCGCCTTTAACCGCTCACTAATTATTGAGGACATTTTCTCCATCAATGCTGTGTATTCAGAGCTTTTGAGTGCTGGATCCCTGCCTCCGTCAGACCAGCAGCACTTGTCTGAAGCAACAGGCGAGAGTGGTGAGGAGAATCGGCCCATCCAGGGGAGGAGCAGGACAAAGCAGGAGACATGCGGCCTGGCTGGCAGGAGGAAGAAGTGGCCAGAGAAGCGCAGAGAGAGACGGGAGGTGAAGAAGCTGAGGAGAGACGCTCAAGCCAGACGAGAAGGAGGACTACTGAAAGGATCCGGGAGGTACTTTGACGATGAAGTTTGCCCCGCAGACCTCCGCGGTCACAAGCAGTACACACCCCCTCCGCGGAAGAGGAAGGATGAGGCTGCTGGCAGAAGCAAGAAGAGCAGAGAGGCTGAGAAGTGGAAGAAGAGAGGAGGGATAAAACGTGGGGATTTATATCCTCATGGTGATGTAGACATCGGTAGCAAAAGCCTTCTTTCCCCAAAACAAAGAGTACGCCACAGACAAAGATAATTATTTTTTTTTCCTTTTTCAAGGAGGATCAAATATAACTGGATAGTTAAGTATTTTGTATTTTTGTGATTGATTTAATTTATTTTTTGTCAAATAAAAAAAAATGTGTTTTTGTAATTTTAACCATGTTCCGCAAGCTTGTTTCATGCAATTACAGTTTTCAACATACAGTATTTTGGAATATGTTTTTACACTGTTTTTTACACAATGCCTTTTTTTTTTGGCTCATGTATAGTGTTGGAGGGGTGGTTTATTACCCCCCCCCCCCAAATAATGGCAGTTTATAGCATTCAAATAATTAGCAAATAGTGTTTGTATGTTTATATTGTAAAGACGACAATAAACATGGATTCCGGATAACCTCGTGCATAATTTATTGTGTGACTGATACGTATAAACATACGAGCATGGGGGTTTAGGTTTATATAGTATATCGGAGAAGGCTTTAAGCAAACCACATAGTTTTTCTACATGAAAACCCTTATAACACAAGTGGCTTTCGGCTTTCAAAGCGATGTCTTATAGTATTTCTGGTATGAAGCTGCTGAATTATTAATGAACTGAGCAGCTGCCCGGGGTTTGCCAGACTAAAGTAGTCAACTCTGATAAATGAGCAGCTACCTAAAATCGACTTTGACCGTTAGTAATGAAATAAATCTCACTTTGATAGGTGTGCGAATGTTAACGCTTCCTCTCTTGTGGGTTTGTGCTATTTACTAACAAGCACATCGCGTGTCAGTCTTGTGACGAGCTACATGTTGCTCTGTGATTGATTAGGAGTGACTTGGCGGAGATGTGAAACTCCCATTGATTGATCTGCACACACTCCCCGCTGACCAGAGAAAACACTCGATAGCGAATGCGAGAGGGGATTTAAATTTGACAAATATTGCCCTCGTTCCTTGACGGGAAAGGTAGCTATCTGTGTTCTCGTGCGGTCCGAGGTAACCTGCTCCTACCGTTGTCTAAAGACTAGCCTAACATCGAGACAGTGCGACGTTAGCTAGCTCGTAATGTCGGCACTGTTGGACTTGTTTTCCCCTCTAGACCCCGCTTCCTGTTAGCTCTGGGCTAGCTGGAAAAATCGAAATTATGCTAATGAACGAGCAGGTATAGTTAACCAACGCAGAGGGGGGTAACTTTACTACATATCATATACCAACCGTCGTAATTTAGTTGGAGTTTATCCACAAATATATGCTAATAACTTTGTTTCTCAGCCAGCTATCAGGGCTGCTGGTTTGCTAACCTACGACATCAAGCCATCTTGTGTTGAGGGGTTTAAGTATTTAACTTAACGAGCTTCTGGTGGCAGAGAGCGAGTGATATTAACTTTAGTTGCTCGTTAATAAATGCGTCGGTAACGGGCTCGTTCCTATAGGACTTAAAAATACTTTATTTCACTGTGGAGACCCTGACAGTAGACAATAGAAAACCCGAGACTTGCTCAGCTGTTGTTCTGGGTAACGACGAAAACTTCCAGAAAATTGTATTTTGATAATTTTTTTGTTATATTAGTACAATATATTTTTTTAATACTTGTGTACGTTCGTAAGTGGTGAAATAAAATAACGGTTAAGGAGGGCAGTGAATGGATTCGGTGCAGATGGTGCTCGTGCGACATATGAGGGCTGTTTTCAGGTGTCTCGTCTCATTATATTAAAAACAAACGGCTTTAAATGCCTCAGAAAACACTCGCAGTAGCCGGTGTTCATCAGAGGTAACTAGGTGGACAGAGAGACGCGTAGAAGCGGTAGAATAGGGAGGCTCCTGCCCGTTTCTCTCTCCAGCCTACGTCCATCCACCACCGCCGCCCTCCACAGATATGGACCCCCCGAGGACTCGGTCGCGGTCTCGCTCCGGTTTCTATCATTTCGGCATGAGCGGCAACGTTGGAAGCAGCGGCAACGCGCTGGGTAACGGGAGCATGATGACCGCCAGCGGAGGAGGAGGGCTGAGCTACGCGCAGCAGAGCAACCCCGGCTGGGCGCCGCACCACCACCACCACCACCACGGTGGTCGGAGCTACCCGGAGAGCCAGCAGCAGCAGCAGCAGCAGCAGCAGCAGCAGCACGCCCAGGGGGGCTACCTATCCGCGGGGGTGCAGCGCCACCCTTCGCACGGAGCTCACAGACACCCCGGGGCCGGTAAGCAAGCTTCAGTAAACAGGGCCTGCAGCCCGGCTAGATGCACGCGCACACACACACACACACACACACACACACACACACACACACACACAC